GAGCAACTGCATCCATCCATTGCCTTGAGATTTCCTGGGGTGGCGAGGCAAGGAGAGGAGCCCCAAGGATGTTGCACAGCCCAAATAGAGAAGACCCCGAGAAGAGCCTGGAGCCATGCTCAGCCTCAGGCTTTGGTGGGTCCTCAGGGAAACAGTGTCTTACAAATGTGGGTCAGCTACAGAATATGCCTCTCTGCTTTCCCACTGCTCACACCCAAGCCCCTGCTGTCTTCTAGTTGTCTGGTTGGGTGTCTTTCCTCACAGTCTCTCTTTCCTCTATTAGGGCTCTGTTTATAAGCACACTTGCTCCACTGACCTAAGCCCCAGGAGCACAGCCAAGAAGAGAACGGATGTATTCAAACACAAGACAATTGTCTCTTTTTTTCTTCTACTGGTTAACTCATGAGACAGGTGCCGAGGCAGGGGTGGCACAGATCCACGGGTGTGTGGGTGGCCACATATAATGCAATGCACACCACTGCTTATCGCAAATGCCGATTGGACAATCTGTAGCAAGAAAAAAAAAAGAAATTTGAACTATTTGAGTGAGCAGGGGCGGATTAGATGGAATATTGGAGGAAGGAGGGAGGACAGTGTGGGTGTGTTTAGCATGCCAGCCTCTGCTTTTCTTTTGCTGAAAAGAGTTCTTTCAATTGCTTTTCATCCAATTAGCCAGAGACAAGGGGCTTCTGTACAGCAGCTAGGCTAATGCCCACACTGTCAGCACATTAAGGAGAGACTTGCTTCCAAATGTGCCCCCCTCCATTAATATCCTAGACAATTGTCCCTTTTTTATACACCCTGGCACCAGCTTGGACCCAATCATGCAAATGGGACCTTGTCTCATGGGAGGGGGAGACTGCATGCTCAAGAGAGTCACGGTCGGAGGTTGCTTGCCCTGCCCGGGTCTTGTCTCTTCCTTCCTCCCTGGCCAAGTAACAAACCCCTTAATGTTCCCCTGAGACAGAGATGGCTACAAATGGAAGCAGAATGTGAAACACTCGGGCTGTGCCCACTTTGCTGGCTCAAAACGCAGCTAATTGTTCTTTTTCTAAGTTTGGATGAAAGCAGGTTTGGCGGAAAACACACCATAAGAAACAACAGATACAGGATAGATAGGGATTGTGGCTAATGTCGTGTACACAGCTCTTCCCAAACCAGTATTGGAGCACAGTGGCTGCAGAGTAACAGCCTCAGAGTCAATCACTGGGAGGAAGGTCCTTTCTCCCAGACTGCTTGTGACTCTGAGGTTTCTGTGCCTTTGTACCTTCTCATTTGCTTGGGCTCTTTGGCCATGAAACAATTTAGCAGCAGGTAAGATTTTGTTGAAATACATCTTAGATTGCTTGAATGCTTTTATTTTTGTTCAATAATGCAGGTTCCCTACCACCACCAGCATGACAGTATGTCCCTGGAAGCATGAGCTGCTGGGCACTGTACTCTGCCAAATATATTCCTCCTTTTGCTTTACTGGCCTCTCCTTATTTAAAACATTTTTTTTAAAAAAAACAACTTTTTTTACAGAAGGTAATAGTGAAAGGACTTCCGTCTGCATAACGGGACTTCTCCCTCTCCTCTCCTGGTGTGCACACCCACCAAACCTGCTCTGTGGAGTTTGGGGAACTCCAGAACAGATTTGGGGGTACAGAGGAGAGGAGGTCCTATTGCACAGGCAGAAGTCCAGATGGGGTGTCTTTATTGAATGGCTGTGCTGTAAAGCACAGTGCTAGCAAGATCCAACCCACCACACACATCCTTTCGGGCCATGGGCCTGTGTCCCGAGACTTCTAGGTACCTAGTAACAGGCTGATGGCTTACACCAAGTCAAGCCATTGGCCCATCTAACTCAGTATTGTCAACACTGACTGACAGCAGCTCTTTAGGGTTTCAGGCAGGAATTCTTCCCAGTCTAGCAATGCTCCTGAATGTTGCCATTATTTTCAGGAAACTGGACTGTTTCTCTCCATGCTGATCAGCTGGCAAACCATTATGTGGTCTCCCAGTCATCCCATATCTATGGTCCCATGTCCAGCTGCAGTAGTAATTTAGCATGCCGGGAGGTGGGAAGGCTTATTTGTCCCCATCAGTAATGTAACTGACAGTCATAGGCCCACAAGCAGCATTGCCTCTTTTTTATTATTAAAAAAATCTTTTTATTAAATTTCCAAAAATAAAGAAAAACATTGCATCTTGCTCCCCTCAGCTAAGCCCTGAGAACGTTTCCCTCTACTCTGAGGCTCCAGCTGTTTAGGGATAGGGCTCTGAGAGGAATATCCTGCCCTGTTCTGTATAGAAAAACATCTGAGGCTACCTCAGTGTTCATTTAACCATGAATACATTTCAGTTCCCCAAGGATATGTGGGCGGAATTATTTTTAGCTCCAAAGATAGTGAAGCAAGGCCCCCCAAAAAGGAAAAAATAGAGCGAGGAATTGACTGCTTGAACGGATATTATGCTTTTGAAGAATAGATTCCACAAGGCTACACATCCAAGGAATGCGCTTGCCTGTGGTTAATGTGAATCTCCACCAGGCACCTTGAAGGCATTCCTTTTTCTGGTCAGCCCCCGTTATTATAGTGCACATGCTAGGAGCATATGAATGATCTGGAGCATGTGGTCAATTGCTATAGTCTCCTTACTGTTACTTACTAGGGGTGTGCATTTGTTTTGGAGGAATCCTTAGCCAAATCAGGCACATATGTATGGGACAGCTACATATTCCTGCATTGCAGGGGTTGGACTAGATGATCCTTAGGGTCACTTTCAGCTCTACAATTCTATGATTTAGAGAGATTCAGCAGGGTGGGTATCCTCTGATGTGCCTGCACACCAAACTGAATGGCTCTCTAACTTTAGGGATGTCTTGTTTCTCCTGAAATCCCAGAGCACTCAGACTGTCTCTTTAAAATCATTACATTTCCCCAAGTTCTCCATACAAGGGCAAGTCTATAGCCCAGAAGCTGACCTGTATACAGTGGTACCTCGGGTTAAGAACTTAATTCGTTCTGGAGGTCCGTTCTTAACTTGAAACTGTTCTTAACCTGAAGCACTACTTTAGCTAATGGGGCCTCCTGCTGCCGCTGCACTGCCGGAGCACGATTTCTGTTCTCATCCTGAAGCAAAGTTCTTAACCCGAGGTACTATTTATGCGTTAGTGGAGTCTGTAACCTGAAGCATCTGAAACCTGAAGCATCTGTAACCCAAGGTACCACTGTATATGAGGCAACTGGTTGTTTTTATATTTGCCTGTCTTGCTTTTAACTTTGTATTTTGTTGCTGTTTTATTGTATTTTATTATATGTTACCATATTTGCACGGTTGCTGTTAGCCACCTTGAGCTCCATTTGTTGGAAAGGTGGAATACAAATTTAACAAAATAAACAGTCTTCCATCTCCAATCCCTGCTTGGGAGAAAGAACCCAAAAGAGTGCTCTGAGCCAAGCCCTCACTGATGCAACAGGCACAGCTATAAAACCTCTCTCTGCCTTGCTGACTGTATGTTGCTAGTACAACACTGTCTCCTGCCCAGTTCTTAGTCTTGTGGTCTAGCTCTGACTCAATGGCTGGACAGCTCCCCTGATGTTGTAGAAATATTGCTCCTTACTGTGCTGGACTCCTCACTGGTAAGTTGAGGAGCCCAAGGCACACAGCTCAGAGTTGGTGGGAACTGAATTAGGGAGGGGTGAAAACACAATTAAATACATTAGCAATTCAGAGTTTACTTAACATTTTATGGAGTAGTTGTCTTTGCATCCAAAAGGAAGTGGCAATCACAGCTAATTCCACAAAATTTAATATGCTGGGCTCCATCTGCAAGTGATTGTGTCTATATAAGAAAGCAAAGAGACATCACCGAAGGGAAGACTGGAAATTTTTATTTGATAATATGATTTGCATTATCCCCTGGAATGCGCTGGGATTTGTTTTTCTCATGCACAATTGTGGTTTTAAGAATCAAACTCAAGAGGCCATCTTTCCCAGCTATGCAAGAGAAATTTTCATGAGTTATAAAATGCTTTGCTCCCTGCAAACAGCACAATGAATTCTCCTAGGTGAGAACACTGGAAAATCCCATCAATTTCGTTATGGGAATGAAAATATTTCAAAAAGGGTCAACATCCTTAAACTCCACCTAGTGATGTGTGCTGTAACCAGATGAACAATACATTAATATTCAAGGCAATTTACTCTGCATTCTAGCAATTTGGAGAGAAGCTTCCTTCTGGTCATATTGCCTAGAGAACCTGCATTTCTTTATTTGCCTTATTCTGCAGCATATAGCTTTGTTCTCTGTTTTGAATCATTTGAGGCCTTTTCCTGTGCTGGGTTTGGTTTTTCCCCAGCCGTGCACCTGCTTGGGACATTCTGTGATCTGGATTGGGTATGTTGAAGCAGCTGCTTGGGCTGTCCAGTCTCTGGGCAGGAAGTTGGACCAGATGAACATTGTTCCCACCCAGTTTTCGAATTCTCAATTTCTGGGCATATTGTCCAAGTTTTGCAGCAAGTAGGAGTGAACTATATATTTTAAGCAAACTCATCCCAAATGTGAAGCGTTCACATTGTAAGCATCTGTTTGTTCTTTAGTTGCTTTGAAAGCAAATGTTAATCTGCTACATTTGTGTGCACTGATTTTGATTGCACATTTATTTGGATGAACTCAAATATGTATGAATTTGTTTTCGAAATGTCATTTTCAGGCTCTGAAGTCAAAGTTTGCTGATATGAATTGTGATGTAGACTTTATACTGGGCTCTGATTTCAAGTGACAGCTGAAATTGGCCACAGGCTGCCTATAAGTTTAACCAACATAGCCTGATAAAGGTGGAACTTATCACATAACCAAAGTGGTGAATCCAATGAACTTTGAAAGTTCATTGGAATATTGGTTGTTTGCAGTACAATATTTGTTGTTGTGTCACCATTGTAAAATGAATATGGCAGCAAATTAAACAAACCGAAACAATTCCTGATTTCCAAGCAAGCCATTGTTGAAACTTGGGGAAAGAAGCATAAAGGATTTTATTGTTCTTGGGGTTGGAAACATGGGCAGAGGCATTAGACAACGTTGCTTGTGGAATCTATTCATAATCTTCACATCATTCACTGACCCACACTACTGCTGAAAGCTGGCTTTTTGTCCTTTCAAGCCAAGATGTTGGTATACTGACATGCATACAAAAAGCTTTAAGGGTGGATATAACTGACAGATGAAGCAATATAGGTCTCTTCACAGAGGGCAGCCACTGCTGCTGCTGCTGCTGCTGCTGCTCTCATTTCTGAGTTTGGATTCTTCATGTTTTTAAGACCACATAGTTTGTACCAACCCACAGCAGCTCAGAAGAGGATAATGGGGCGGGGGGAGGCATTGGGGGTCAAATTAGATTGGCCATCATCAATTGCATGATTGAAATAAATGTGTCTTGTTCTTAAAATGCATGTACTGTAGTTTATCTTTAAACATGCTGTTTCAATTGCACACACACACACCCGGTGGTGCAATCAGGATCAGGACTCAAGCATGTGGGGAAGGGACTAACCCTTTTCCAGCCCCGTGTCACAGTTTGAATGAAAAAGGCCTTCCTCTCTAAATTTTGCTCCCCACCCCCAAAAGTAGCAGTTTGGGAAGGAATAGTATCAGGGTGATAACATAGGAGGAAAGGATTAAAGTCCCCCTCCCCATCATTCAAAGTCGAATCCTTTTTTTAAAAAAAAAAAGCGACAGTTGCTGTTATACAATTCAGGGTTCTGTGTAATTTCACCCTTTGCAATTCAGCATTACATGGGAAATCTGTGTGTTTTCCTAGCGGCCTGAGAAAACAACAAGTCCTTAAGGTTGTTGATGCAACACTTTGAGGTGTTGTGTGTGTGTGTATTTTTTCCTCATTAGAATTATGTTGAAACCTTCAGGAGAGGACCGTTGTGACTTTGTTGTCAAAACCAGAATTCAAATGCATAGTGAACTCTGTCATATGCTGGACACATCTACTTTCATCACACGGCATGCATAGCTGAGTGCTGAACGTTGTATTGCAGCTGAGGAACTGGCGCCTTTAAGAATGATGAGCATAACAGACACGGAAAATTTAAGTGAGCCTTCACAGAAAAGATGGTAAGACCAGATTGGCCGATGTCATTTTGGCACGCAAGGTTCTGAAAGAAAATCTAGGGAGAAGATGGATGCTCCTCAAATACAAAGCCATGTTTAAAAGGATTTCAAAGAAAATACCATGAGGATTCAGAATGTAGCATGCTGTGCTGTGAAAAATGGTTTTGAAACTTGCAGGATGAAAGTGCACAGTGGCTCAACAGAAGCACTGCAAAATTATGTAAGGCTGACAGATATCTGGCGTTACTGACAGCACCTGTCCACCCTGCTTTTATGAATTTGACATTGTCTACAATGCTGGCAGGTCAAAAATTGCAGCAATGTGGGGCATGGTGCAGCGAGGAGGAGGAGGGAATAGCAAATGAATTGTCAAACCTTACAGGAAAGAGACTGAAGGATTTGCATCAGAGAGAGTCCAAAATTGGTCCTGTTTCAGTCTTAGCCAAAGTGGGTTAAAGGGACCATTAATTTAAACAAAGCCGAAACTACTTCTGCCTGCTCCTTTATTCCCTTTCTAAAAAAAAGAGGAAGATTAGATTTTTGCTTTAGCAGGAGTCAAACGTTGGCTTTATGACATCTCCACAAAATCAGGTAATTCCATCTCCCTCTTACTACAGGGTAAATTGCATGGGAGAAAAGCTAGTCAACTTCTTTGAATCCACACCAGAAACAAAGCACATGGGGTTGAGGAAAACCCAGGTCCCTGGCTATCAGCCTGCAGATAGTGACAGAAGCATATCTGTCTGTGTCCCTCTGTGGAGCTGACACCAGAAAATATGCTGCCTCCCGAACATTTGAGCACACCCTCAGGATTTTCATTGATCAACTTCCCCCAATCTGGTGCCCTTCAAATGTTTCCAGAACAACAACCCTGTTTGCTCAAGCCAGCATGTAGCAAGGGTCAGGGATGATGGGTGCTATAGTTCAGAAACATCTGAAGGGTATCAGGCTGATGAAGGCTGGCCTTGTAAAATGTGTAAACATCAGAGGGAAGCAGTGTCCTGTCTCCAAGCATGATTCCTGCCCCCCCCCTTTAAGCTTGGAAAGAGATCTGGGGCTTGTTTGTGTACCTCCAAGGTACTTGGGCTCCCTCAAAGCATGGAACTGGGGACAGGGAAATAATCCCCAGAAACATGCTACATTTGGAACACCTTCAGTGCAACAGAGGCACTTCTAGACAAACTTCTGGGGGCCACATCTCAGTGGAGGGAAGAGCCAGGGGTAGAAGTGGGCAGAGCAATAAATGTAAATGTTACCATTGTACAGAGTAGGCACAAATACACACACCTCTATCCTCCATCCAAGCAACCAAGAAGCATTTTCAGAGTTCAAGGACACATTCCAGCCAGACAAAAACACCCAAGGAGGATGCAAAGTAGGACTGGTGAGGGCTGTGGCCACAGAGGAGTGTAGCTGGGGGAAAGCAGTCTGTAGGGGATCCCTACAGGCCAGACAGAGAAGTCTGGAGGTCTGTGCTTGTCCCCTGGATCTGAGTGTCCCCATTCCTGCTCTAGCCCTTCTCAAAGTGCCTTTGATGCCCATCAGAACTGTAGGAATCGTTACTGCCCCCCCCCAATTTCTGCTCCACCTCAGGTGGAGGCAGCGAGGAGCAGAGAGGAATGCTCATCATGGTGAGTGCTGCAAACAAACCAGAATTTGTTTTCCCCATTCCTTTCTCAAACCTGGGACTTTGCTGAGCAAAGGAGGGATAATCTCCCCATCAAAGTGCATAATAATGAAACAGATGAGAAGGGGAAGTGGTGTCAAAGGCGTGACTCTGCTTCCCATCTGAAACCCACGAACAACTCTCTGTTAACATGAACAGGAAGAATAGGGGGCAGAGTTCTCCCAAGGAAAGCCACATGGGTTGCATCAAGGTATGTGCGCCTCGTTGCTCTTAAGATGAAGATGTTTCTCCAAACCTCATGGATGCGTGGAAGCAGTGATGTGCCACACATGACAACACAGCATCTCTCTCAGAGACTAGAAACATTATTGCACAAGACTGAAGGATGCCGTGATGGAAGGCCAAGAACCCCTCCAACAGGTATCGCTCAACCCAAGAGCTGTTCCTAGAGGTGGTTAATGACAAGGGAGAACCATGCAACTCTGTGTTGTGTCCACCAGCAAATGCAGCAAACAGAAGCAACCATTTTGGCAAGGAAGACAGATGGTCCAATCCAAAGTGCAAACTACTGTAGCTGCATGAGGCCCTGAGCCCATAACCTGCTAGCCCAGGCAGCAAGTCTGGGATGCTACAAGAACGTCACATCATCTTGAGACTGAACCCACTGCCAATGGGCATCATACTCCAAGTGCCTCCTGCTATTCAACTTGCAGTTCTCCAAGTCAACTTTGCTGCTCCTCAAGGCCTTTGCTGCTGGGCTGCTCAACTGCTCGGCAGCTGCCAAGGGTAACTTAATCTCAGTGCTTTGCTCCAGCCCTGGGACATTTCTGCCCAATATCCCATTGGCCATTGGTGGTGACTGCCCAGCAGCTCTGTTTGGCTCACTTGAACACTGGCTTTTAACGGGGACCCTCTCGAGGCACATTTTGCTTTTCTCCGGCTCTTTCTCACCCTTGGCAGGAAAAGCCCTCTCTAGGTCAGTCTTTGATCTTTCCAGCTCGGCTCTGGCCAGTGGCCTGCCCGGGGTGGAGGACATTATGGGTTCCATGGAAGAGCTTTGCCCATACTCATCCATATCATCAGCAAGTGTGTCCAAATAGCTGCCAATGGAGATGCTGTCCAACTTGTCATTGGGGTCTTGAAGGCTGTTCCAGCTGCCCCGCCGGGATGTCTCCTGACTCTCCACCAGGCTGTACTGGCTGCTGGTGAGGCTGCTGCAGCGGCTGGTCAGCGTCCCTTTCTCCTCCAGGAGCCACTTCACCGCCTCTATGCCCTCGTGCACTGCTACTAGCTGCTGTAGGATCTTGATGTCTATTGCTCTCAGGTAGGCCTGTGGGATAGGAAAGAAAACACAGTATGAAACTATTAGCTGCAGGAGATATGGAATGGAGGACCTTCTGGAAGGTATATATGCATAGCACAGGAACATGGGAATCTAGCTCAGTCTTGTCTGCATTGACTGGTGGTGAGATTCAGGAAGGGGTTTCTCCTAGCATGATCCTAAGTGGAAAAGCTGGGAACTGAAAATGTAGCATTCTGCATGCTATAGCCTTTCCCCTTGGTCACTCAGTGCAATGGCCCTGCTTTCATGAAGAACCACCAAAGTGTTCTGATGATGCAAATATAAATAAATACAGTAACAATGCCAACTGGCAAGGGGTGGTTCTTGGCACTGGACTTCTCTCAGTTGGGCCAGGAGCTTCTCATGTGCTCCATGTGGCAGGCAACAATGAAAACGAGGAAAAAGCACCAGGTGGCTGAAATGAAATGCAGCAACAACAGAGGTCTCACCAGAATGCCCCATGTATTGCATGAGAAGTTACTGCCCCTCAGGAAGACAATTCTCCCCCCCCCCCAAAAAAAATCCTGTTGGTCCTGAAATAAATTTCACTTAAGCTACCTAGAATCCCCCCTTAAAAACAAAAACAAAACAGCCATTACATCTTTCCTGGTTTTGTGATTGGGTTTTTCCACAGAAACCATTTTTTCCTGTAGCTACCTCATTTCCACAAGCTACCTCAAACCTTTCCCCCTCCCAATGCAGTGGCATGGTGAAGATCAGAGGCCTTTGTATATAAACCAGGGGCAAACAGCTCCTAACAAAAAGCATAATCCAGCATTCTTCGATTTAAAAAACACAGTTTATGAATCAGTCCCCAGGTTTCACATGGAGAAGCTGAGTTCCGTCAAAGTTCTCCCAGTTGTACACAGCATTTGCTCTTGAATGTAGCCAGCACAAAACTCCACGATGCTGTCACAAACTCGGAAGAGAGGCAAGGATCTTGAAAAGCTAGCAAATGATTTGTTTAGAGAAGTTTTGATTTATTAGGCTAGATTCAAAGGCAGTGGTATTGGTAAATGATTCCAGCTGGACAAGATGCCATTGAACTAGCTGATGAGGCATGTGAGCACCATGGACAGAGGAGAAACAGTCCCAACAGCACATAGCGAAACGGGAAAACAAACAGCAGGCCTGTCTTCACCTAGAGACCAAGTGCACCACCAAAGGCCAGTGAAGACCAACACACAGAAAGAATGAAAGCCATCAACTAAGGGCAACTTGACACATTATGATTTCTGCAGGCAACACCAGCATTACATTAGTGCTTCCCACAGCGGATGTCAAAAGTGCAGGTATAATGTTGACCTGCATCTTTGTGTACAGATGTCTAATCCAATCGGGGTGCATAGCATTTGAAATGTACATAGTTACTGCAAGAAGCACCAGTGTGATACTTGTGTTTCCTGCAGCAACTCCAACATGAAGAGCTGCTCTGAAATGTATGTATAAACACTGAAACCCTCCTTTTCTTCTTCTAAAAGAAAAAGAACTTTAACTAACTAATTGATACCAAAAATCAGTACTGGCGATGACTGTTAGAGTGCCAGATTCCAATGTATTCAGTGGAGAATAATTAGTACTAGACCAGATCTGTTTCAGGTACAGATGACTTGAATAGTTGTAGATATATTCTCACAGTTTCTGCTCATGAGCTCAGACATGGAATAAATCCTCCTTTTTTGGAGAGCAGAGTTACAGGTAGTTGGCCAGGGCTCTCAGTTGAGCACTTAACAGGGAATGGAGAAGCGTTAATCGTGTCCACTTTTCCTTCGATAATACCCCATAACTAGTTTTTGGTTACAGGTTTCAAGCCATTTTACATGGGCTTGAGGTGGCAAAATAATATTTACATACCAGCAGGTTTGCACTTCCATTGCAGCTGGTCTTGGAAAGGGGAAGTCTGAATGAACAGATGGAGGAACTGTGACTAAGGAAATACTTGTCCAGGAAGTGCTTTTTAAAAACCAGGAAGAGACCAGAGAACAAATGGCAGGTCTGCAGGACATGGATCCTATTGCACAAATGTATAGTTCTATTTTTGAATAAAGGCAAATAAACAGAGCAGCAGCTGTTCTTTAAAGAGATGTGACTGCTTTGTAGTGGCAATTCCCAGTGGGCGGAATGAATGTGTTCAGTCTGAAATTGGATGGATGCAGGCAGTGAGCATAGGTTTCTGAATTGTTTTCCAGAGTCTCTGCTTCCATTGCATCTTTTAAAACATGTTAAGACCTAAATTGCTATAGGTTGAAAGAAAATACAGTGGCAATACAGCCTACATCTCTGGGCTGCACACTTAAATAAAAATGGCTCTGACTGTGATGCAGATTGTTAGGGGAACAGTCTAAATATTCTACTGCAAGTGGACCACAGGGATACTCTGGATATGTCCCCCTGGACCTTATAAAAACGTCTGTGCTGATGTTCCCATAGGGCAGCCTTCGTCAACCTGGTGCCCTTCAGTTGTTCTTAGGCTACACTTCCCAGCAGTCCCAACCTGGATGGACAACAGTCAGGGTCAGGGATGATGGGAACTGGAGTCCACTAGGACCTGGAGGGCACCACAATGCCTACCCTAATGTGCTAGGAGCTAGCAACATATCTCCATGGTATATCTTCTCTGCCCAGGGATGGTAAAATATGTAAGAATTCAATTTGCTTGATTAATAAGGGACAGAAAACCACCACAAACTAAGAAGGAAGACAAATTCCTTTGTGGGCCAATAATTATGTAAACACACCCAGTTTGATGCTGGGAGAAATGTATAGGATGTTCCACTGGATCTTAACTGTGCAGCAGCTGAATTCTTTGAAGTCCCTTTCCAGGATTGTGTCAAACCAATTCACAAAACAGAAAAAACACTTGTTTATTTTTAGTGTAGGGTGTTTAAGGCCACAATTCATTTCAGTGGTATATTACTGAAAAATACCTGCCTCTTAATGACTGCCAAGTGAATGATCAGTCGAAGTATAAGCTCACAGCATGTTTCTTAAACTTATTTGTTTCCATTCATAACGCACCTATCTTTCATCTAGAACCCAAGCAGGCAGGCATGCGATTCCCAGCCAGTCACCCATCTAGGCATGGACCAGACCCAGACCTGTTTCATTTCAGCAAGGAGGTGGCCTCACGTGCCTTCGGAGTACAATGAGACATTGTAGGATTAAGGACGCTAGGCATTGCAGCAAGTACAGGATTCACTAAGGCCAGTATTCTAAATACCTTACTCTTAAGTGACTTACTTTTGAATAAACAGAGTAAGGTCTGGGCTCAAAGATTGCAGTGAAGTTATCTGATAGTGGTGGAGCCAGGGCTGTACGAAAAGCAAGTTTTAACAACCAGCCACCAAGCGCGAAGTGGCTCCTTGAAATTGCTAAAACCATTGGGACCTGCAGCTTCTTGTACCAATCATGTACAGATGACAAACTCCTGCCCCCTCTCTAAGAACTGCATTAATCCACATTTGGGTACATCTGTGCAACATATTTGCATGGCAAGCACAACATGGGTGGGGATACCATTGCCCTGAGGAAGCTTCCACCCACATATCCAAAGACAGATAAGGAGTCTCATGTGGAAACATGTGCTTCACACATGATTCCCTTCTGCCGCTTTCTCTTACACACACACAATTTAGGCTGAGTGGGAATTTGAACCCTGGTCTCACAGGTCCTGCACTCTAATCACTACACCACACTGGCACCAAACATGCAGAACCACGTTATGTAAAGGTAAAGGACCCCTGACAGTCAAGTCCAGTCGCAGACGACTCTGGGGTTGCGGTGCTCATCTCGCTTTACTGGCTGAGGGAGCCGACGTTTGTCCACAGACAGTTTTTCCGGGTCATGTGGCCAGCATGACTCAGCCGTTTCTGGCGAAACCAGAGCAGCGCACTGAAATGCTGTTTACCTTCCCACCGGAGTGGTACCTATTTATCTACTTGCACTTTGACATGCAACCTGCTAGGTTGGCAGGAGACATGTTATGTAGGACATATTATTTTTTGTCCTAAAAACAAGCACCTGTCTATCCCCCCACCTATTAAACCAGGGCAACAGTAAAAAGGAAGAGGCTAACCCTCCTCCACCAGTATATTATTATTATTATTATTATTATTATTATTATTATTATTATTATTATTCCACTCAAACACCCACCAGTCATTGTCCCTTATGGTCATTTCCAATTCCTGCCTGTAGGGTGTGTGTGATTCAAATCTCTGCACAACCATGAACTTACAAGTTGGCTTTGAGCCTCACATTTCAATGTAGGACACACCGTCCAACATTCCCGTAAAGCAGGGGAGGGAAAACTGTGGCCTTCCAAATATTGCTGGACTACAGCTATGGCTGATGGAAGTTGGAGTCCAGCCACTTGTGGAGGACCCAGGTTCCTCATCCCTGCTCTAAGTACATTGAATACCCAAAAGGTACCATATATATAAGTATAAGGTTAAGTGCAAACAGTTACATTGTGTTGCTTCAGATCTTGGGCCTATATATATAGGCCCAAGATCTAAAGCAATGCAGCGTAACTGTTTACACTTAACCTTAGCCTGAGAAAGAAAGGAAGAATACAGAAATTGAGACAACCTGGTGATTCTGAGTTCTGTGCGCCAAGGCCTCTCAGCTGTCATATTTATGGGCATGCTAAGTTCCCCGGCTCTCTTACACTGACAAGTACCATATCTGCCTGCTTATCTGTTCAAAAGCAAGATGCTAAGGAGAGCTTTAGCAAAATGGGCCATGATTTGCAAATAATGTTGAGTAGTACAAAGAATTGGTTGGGTGTTTTTTTTAAAAAAAGATACTGGGATTTCATTCCTCCCTGCTTGATATCTCTCCAGTGCTGCTGCAGTGGCACAGAGTTCGCCCCAAAGGCACTTGGTATTAATATTAATTAGTGATTAATGGGGATCAAGCAGCACATTTTCTGGTTTGATCCAAATCCCAACTTTCCCAGGGATTAAGAGCAGACACAAACTTCCCCTTTGTGCTTGCCTCTAGTAAAATCAGGTCCCTCTGTCTTTTAGGATTGTAACCAAATTGAGAAATCAGTTGTGCAAAGTACAATTAGAATCCAGCTGCACTGGCTGCCAATTAGTTTCTGAGCCCAAGTCAAAGTGTTGGTTTTGACCTATAAAGCTTTAAATGGCTCAGGACCACAAGAACTGCCACTGCCCATATGAACTGACCAAACCCTGCGATCATCATCTGAGGCTCTTCTTCATGTGCCTCCTCTACGTGAGATCTGGAGGATGGCAACATGAGAACGGGCCTTTTCTGCAGTGGCTCCCTGTTTGTGGAATGCTCTCCCCAGGGAGGTTTGGCTGGAGCCTTCATTAAACACTTTTAGGCACTAGGCAAAAAAAATATTCCTCTTAAACAGACCTTTGGCTGATTAGCATTCAATGCCCTTTTAAATGTATTAAGGGAGGGGAGATTATTGGTTTGCTTTGGTTCCTACTTATTATGTATTTTGTGCTTTTCATGTTGTAATTTTGTGTTTTGACTCGCCCTGAGATCTGTGGATGAAGGGCAGTATACAAATTTAATAAAATGAATGAATGAATAAATGAATGAATGAATGAATGAATGAAAATTTTAGCCTCATCAGCGTATGTGCAACAAACCCCTGACTTCAGTCTAAATAGAAAATATCCCACTTGTTTCAAAAAGACTTGATCCAATCCAGCAACTGGTCTAACTTAAGGGTGAAGAGCAGGAGTTTTGATGAGACAAGAAGTTCCCAGTGCAAGTTATATCTCAGCTATAGCTCACTAAGTGACCACAGGTTACTGTCATTCTCTAGCTCCATCTCAGTTAGAGGATAGTGAAACTGGGCCATCCACAAATCTTTGCAAAATTCACTACTGCAATTACAGCTAGCTACCCTCTCACGTTCCTGAGGTTAGTAATTGCCCTTTGGGGCAAGTAGCTTACCAGACCCACTGCTTATTCGACTAAGAAACATCTAGGTATGTGCAAATGGATACAGGCAGGCTACACTGATATTTTATTTTATTTGCATTCATATGGAAGGGTGTGTCCCAAGGCAGTGGGACTCGCCATATTTGGAAATCAGTCTCCAAAGTTAGCATTAGCTCTGAGCTAATGTATCCCAACTGTTTTCTTCCCCCATTTCTCAGCATCCTTGCAAATAAAAAAACCTCAGCATTTGAAACTGAATGGATGATAAATGAAGCTGAATGCCGCCTTCAACCTCCTCCCCGCAGCCTTTCTACCAGTTCAGAGACCTCAAGAGCATCTTTCTCATGCTGTGGAGCAGATGTATCCCTTAGGCAAAGAGCCAGCCAATCTGTGGAGGACAAGAGGCTGTACCCTTGTATACTATTTTCTCCCTGAGGAAGCAATCTAACAATAAACCACATTTCTTATTGTTCTCTTTTTTTATGCTGATGTCTGGGAAAGGATCACTTCCATGCCAAGATCTAAGTGGAAGATAATAAAAGGCTCAGAATAATTTCATCAGCAATATCTATGGATTAGGTTGATATTCCTGCCGTTTATTGCATTTTTGTCACATTAACAGGCAAGTTGGAAAAGGTTCCCGGCAGTGGTTTGGGTTCAGTTGTATTTGAACTCACCTGGAAGTAAGCTCCATTGAAGACAATGAGACTCACTTCTCAGTAGGCATGTATATTGGATTGCATCAAAAGTTTGCAGACAACAACATTTAGCATTTGTACTGTGGATTTAAAGTGTTTGAAGCATTTCATAGTCATTATTTTTTAGCAATTCTTAAAACATTCCTGTAAGGTGGACCACTGTTAGGATCCCCAGTTGCAGAAGAGAGGCTGAGGCTAAGACTGAGTGACCTTAGTAAGCCCATGACTGAGATGAGATTTGAGCCATGAGCTTCTCTGTTCATAGTTCACAATCTTAGCAACAACACTTTGCCACACCCATTATATTTATATAGCATGTGTCTGTATATGTGTATATGTATATAGTGCAAACTGCAATCCTACGCATGCTTACTTGGGAGTATGTCCCACTGCATCCAATGGTGCTTTACTTACTCTATGTATCCTTAGCTCTTCAGCATCAGTCCATCATCAAATATCCCGTTCTAGCCAATATCTCAAAAACAGACATTATAGAAAGAGTATGTGCTTAATCAGTCCAGATTCCCAATGAAATCACATTTCCACTGAAATACTGGCTGAATTGACACCATGGGTCCCAAGACCCTCAGTTGGTCTGTGAAACATGGGACTTGAAACGCCTTCCTGCCTCCAGCATCTGAAATGCAGGGAATCACTCCGGTTGTTGCTCAAACCCCATCGCTCCCAACCAGCATGGCCAGTGGTTGGGGATTATAGGAGTTGTAGACCAACAACATCTGGAGGGCCACAATCCCACAGCCACTCTCTCATGGCAGGAGATGGCAGGAAAAACATAGAAAGGGAAAGACTGGTTGATTATTGCTAGAAGCACCATTCCAGCAGAGTCACTTATGACAGGCAAAACATGGTTTGTGTGCATTAGAACTGGTTTGCTGTGACCTGAGGTTCAAGTGGAAGCAGCCACTTATCACAGATGCTGCAATACTGGAGTTCCTGCATAAGTAGGAGGTTGAGCTGGATGACTTCTGAGACCCCTTCCTATGATTCTAATGATCAGCTACTGCATGAATTGGAATGAAAAGATGCACGTATAAATGGTTGGGGTGCAGTTAGCAAATGTAATGTGATGCAAATGTAAAGTAACAGATCCTCTGGATAAATGGACCTCCCTCCCCAGCAAAGAAATGATGCACGCTTATTGTCTCCAAACATTTAGGTTTAGAAAACGCAGATTCTCAATCCCACACTGGAAGGCACAGTAGAGGCGGAACTTGGACAGAGTTGCCCAGCACTTCCCTCACACAGGAAAGGAGGACTGTATGAAGAAGTGGATGGCGGCAAATCCTAGCAGTGAGGATGGGGAGGCACTGTCCACCTACCCCAGAATGGCCATGTAGCTCAGTGGGTACAGCATGCGTTTAGAAGGTCCCAGGATCTCTGCCAGAGCTGGGAGGAGACCTCTGCCAATCAGAGCAGGCATGCAGGGCTGGAAGGACCAATGGTCTGAGTTCATGGGAAGGCTTTTTTTATACACCACTGAGCTGTTAGGATGGGAATGAATCGTTACCCCGTTCCACGGGAGCAGGGAGGGCGTGCTTCTAGCTCCGTCGATAAAAAGAAAAAAGAGGGAGTTTCGAGTCGTGCTTTTTCCCTGTCACCCCACAGGTAACCCCCAAAATGGGGGCAGCAGAACTCACCAGCTCCAGCTTCAGTGCCTTGATCTTCTCTCCCAGGCCGTGGCGCAGACCCCGGCTGGGGCTGCTCCGGAGCAGATGAGCGGCGGGATCCTCCCTGAGCCAGCGGAGCAGCCCGTCGGGGGCCTTCTGCCCTACTTTGCTCTCCAGATCCTTCAGGTCGTGGGGCAGCGGGAGCTCGGCGCAACTCCCCGGGACCTCCATGCCCAGGAGACTGGAGCCGCCTTCCGATTGGGGAAAGGGGCCCTGCCTGGAGCAGTAGGAAGCCAAGGACCCCCCTCCCCAACTCCTTCCCAAAGTCAAAGCGGGCGGGCTCTACATGCGCTCGCAAGTAGCAACGCGCCTCGCTGCTTAATCAAGAAATTGGCAGCCAGCGCCTCGGCCTGCACCCCAGCGCACCCCAAAGATCTGGGGCGGGGCTGGGGTGGTTCAGCAGGCAGCAAAGCCTCCCGCCCCAAGGATCCGGGGTGGGCCTCACTCTGCAAACCTCTCGGCTCCCAACTCTCCCCACTTTGCGATCTCTCTTTTATCACTGCTCCCCATCTGGGATTTGGCCAGTTATGAAACCCCTTTGCTTCGCTCCCGCCTTCTCTAGGAGAGGCGGAGGGCAGCGGCCGCCCTTGCTTTCTCCTCCAGGACCTTCGGGAGAGGCGGACACCCACTTCTGGCATGAGTTGACAGGGGGCTCCCTGCAAAAGTTGCCGCCCCACGCAGCAGCAGCGGGAGAGCGGGGAAAGGGCTGCCGCCGGAGCTGCGGAGCTGTCTGTTTTCCAGGCAGCGCCGAAGGACAAAAGAGATCCCTCGTCCCTTTAGAGAGTCTCCTCCCGCGCGGGGCCGTCCGGCAAAGGCAGGTCACCCAGTGACGTCCCACGCGGCTCCTGCTGCTGCTGCTGCTGCTGCTGTTTCAGCCTCTCCCACCTGCCCGAGCAGGGATAGGAAAGCACAATGCAGAGAAACAAACTGCTACAAGCCCGGCTACCGTAATGCACCTCGGATAAGCGCATCATGACGCTGCTGCCTTATTTCCCCGCGTGGGGAGCCATGCTAATAAAACACACTGGTAGGCAGAACGGTTTAAAAGCTGAACATCCCGTTTAGCGTCCTCGCTTTTCCGTGCTTCTCCGTTGCGCGCTCGCCCCCCACTCTGGTCTGTCTTTCTTTTATTATTACATTGATATCCTGACTTTCTTCCAAAGTTGAAGGCAAGGTGGCTTGATCTCCCTGCCAAGCACTGACCAAATCTGCTTAGGGTCCTCAAAGTTGATGTTGCGTCATGCGTTGGTCGGGCTATGTCCAAGATGTCCACAAAACCCATCTACTATGGTTTGGACAGAGACCGTGGCTGCAGACAGACATCAGTTTCTAACAGGGAGTTTAGTGTTGCGTTGTGCACTTTCCATCCCATCCTTTGCGCAAACGGAAGAGCGCTGAGTGGGAGGCAGTGGAGCCTGGTGCCCATAGGGCAAAAGACAGGGAGGCCAACAGCAGGGGGAGCCAGTGACTGGTGGAACTGGAGCCAATGGCAAGCGGAGTCAGCTTCTCCTTTTGTCCACACCATTCTCTCTGCTGTGTTCTATTAATTAGGGCAACCCAAGGAGACAGAAGCCTCTGTCTAGACTGGACTTCTCTGTTGGCATGACTATCACCACCCTCAGTCAGTGGCATAGCGTGGGGGGTGCAGGGGGGGCCGGCCGCACTGGGCGCAACTTCTGGGGTTAGGGCAAATCCATGGGTTAGGGGGCGCAAATCCACAGGTTAGGGGGCACAAATCCACGGGTTAGGGGGCGCAAATTACTTGCCTTGCCCCGGGTGCTGACAACCCACGCTACGCCACTGCCCTCAGTTGCTGCAAGGAGGCAGAACCCCACTGACCATTCTATGGTCCTGAGGGCCTTAGTTATTCTCAGTCCAAAGCCCACCAGCAGATTCTGCCTCACTGATTTATATGCAAGAAAGAGACCTGAAGGGACGAGGCTGGAGGTCTCTTTGTGATATTACTTTTCTCCATGACAGCTGGAGACATTAATAATAAATCCGGGCAGAGCAGATAGGCTTACTCCAATGGTTTTCAGCCAATGTGCTGTGGCACCCTGGGGTGCCTTGAATAATGGTCAGGGGTGCCGCAGGCAACACCGACCTCCTTCCCTCTTTCTTTCTTTCTTTCTTTCTTTCTTTCTTTCTTTCCTTCTCTCCCTCCTCGGATGCCCTCTCATGTCTCTGCCTCTGCATGCAAGGCTGTTTGCTGCAGCAGCCCTGGCTACAAGCTCCCTTGGCAAATGATGCCTCTGGGGCTGGCCAGGGGGTGCTGGTTGCCAGGAGCTGAGGTGGCCTCGGAGTAAGCAAGCAAGTGGACAAGGGAGCCCAGCCAGCCAGTCCACCAACCCTTGCAGTTGGGAATGGACGGACAAGTGGGAGGCTGGGCGGGCAGACAGGTGCTGTGCTGGCCTTTTTTGTGCCTGCTGTGTGGAATGCCTGCCTGGGAGCTGAGTGCCAGGTGCTGAAGGGGTGCTCTTCTGCAATGCAGGCCTGGCAGCACCCACTGCTGCCTCTTTGGGGCAGGGCAGGAAGCCCAGAGGAACCCCAAGGATAGTGGAGGCTGAGGGAACACTCCACAAGAGAGGGTGTTCGAAAAAGGCTTGAGAGGCTGCCAGCTCTGCAGGCAAGGGGTGACATAACTTGGCTCATGAGCCCCACAGAGGTGCCACAGAAAGAATGCAGTTGGTCAAGGGAGCCGTTGACTCAAGGGCCACATTTCCTCTTTGGCAACCTTCTGAGGGCCGCATTCATGTGCTGGGTGGAGCTAGAGGCAAAAGTAGGCAAAGCAACAGGTATGCCTTTTCCCTTTGTACAGCAGGCTGCACACAAGTTATGGGTTTCTGTACACACCCCTATTCACAAGTACCTGCCTATCCTCCACCCTAGCAATGCAGAGGCATGTTCACCACTCAAGGACATATTGCGCCCTGGCAGAAGCACTCAAGTGCAGCAAAGTGGCCTCTCAATGGCCAAACAGAGAGGCATGGAGGGCCACATACAGCAGCTGAATGTACCCCACTCCTGCTCTAATGAATCTTATGGAATCTGCATGGGGCCAAACTGCATGTGATGATGACAGCAGCCTCATCTCATTAAATGCAGGGCCTGCCCCAGTCAGGTGTGCCGTAAAGGAGACAGAGGTGTAATCTGAGGGGTGCAGAGGCAAGGTGGATGACATCTCCACTGCTTTCCTCTCCCTGCCCCACCCTGCTCTGCCCCTGCAGTCTGTGCCCCCAAGGTAAGTTTTCTTCCACCTGGACTTGAATACTAGAAGTCAACCTAAATAGGAGAAAAGTGACTGTCGGGGGGAACAGTGGCTGGGAAAGTGTTACACTCCCCTGACTCACATCTTTTTGAGCATTAAATTGCAGTTCACCCCTGCTTTATTCATGATTAGGGAAGCATAGTGTTTAAAGCTTCCCTGCATAGTGTTTAAAGGGGCAGTGGCCCCTTGTACGTACATAGAATAAAGGTGGTTATTTGGACAATAAGAGGTTTCTTTGAAACTTGTTGGAATATTTCCCAATAAGCATTGTTTTGCACCATTTTGGATTCTTTGTGATTGTGACACGACCCTCCAACACTGGGGGCCCCTTTGGGGAATGATCAACGTTGCCCTTGCAGGGAAATTGATTCAGTTTAGAATCTAGACCAGCAGGGGATTTCAGATCAATGAACCAAATCAGCTATCCCCTTTCATCATCCCTAAGCCAACTCCTTTGACAAGTTAAATAACAAGATTGAGCCATCAAGTGGGGAGTAGGGGAAGGAGGCGTTCTTACTTCTGCATAATTCTGTGCCTCCCAACACAGGAAGAATATAAAGCATTCAATTGGCAGCTTTCCCATAATGGATCGCTTTCTGCTCGCTGCACTCTGTGGCTTCATGCTCTGATGAAACCAGCTGGCACATGGCAAGGCACTGCAGCGCTAGCACATGGTTGCAATATCTCATTGATGCAATTTCTGTGGGAAGACATCTAAGCAGCCATGGATCGCCTTCTATCATGCAAACATCCCAGCACCGTTTAAGGCTCCAATTGTATCTGGCACCTTTTTCTGGAAAAATAGTAGTAGTGTGTGTGTGTGTGTGTGTGTGTGTGTGTGTGTAATCTTCTGAACTGCCCTGAGATCTTTTGATGAAGGGTAGTATCATGTAGGTAGGTAGATAGATAGATAGATAGATAGATAGATAGATAGATAGATGATAGATGGATTGCGCTTTAAGTTTGTTATTTCTCTCTTTGGAAGAAAGCAAAGCAGTTTTCCTCTGCATGCCATTGCTGAGAATCACAGATGGGCAGACTGTTGTCTCAAGACTCAAGTCACCTCCTAATATTCTGCCGGAATACCTCTAAAGGTAAAGGTACCCCTGCCCGTACGGGCCAGTCTTGACAGACTCTGGGGTTGTGCGCCCATCTCACTTAAGAGGCCGAGGGCCAGCGCTGTCCGGAGACACTTCTGGGTCACGTGGCCAGCGTGACATCGCTGCTCTGGCGAGCCAGAGCTGCACACGGAAACGCCGTTTACCTTCCCGCTAGTAAGCGGTCCCTATTTATCTACTTGCACCCGGGGGTGCTTTTGAACTGCTAGTTTGGCAGGCGCTGGGACCGAACAACGGGAGTGCACCCCGCCGCGGGGATTCGAACCGCCGACCTTTCGATCGGCAAGCCCTAGGCGCTGAGGCTTTTACCCACAGCGCCACCCGCGTCCCAAGGAATACCTCTAAGGGCATTCAAAGTCTTGACATTCTCATTTGTTTGTTTGTACAGTATGGTAGGCACTTTCAAAATGCTGGTGCCATGATAGGTGTTATTTCAGGGCAGTTTGTGTAGTGCAGACTTCAAAGCCTGGGCTGGTCTCACTCCAGGTACAACAAAAGAGCCTGCATGCACTGGAGAAAGTGGGTGTTCGCTAGATGGAGATCCTTCATTCTTCAATATAACTGTTCCAATAAAGGAGAGGTATGGCACTGGAATCACATGAGCAGCTACTTAGGACCCCTTCAGACATCCTTTATACTGTGCACTCATGATGACTTGTATTGGGGCAGCTATACACTGTCTTGCTTTTAATTCTGTTTGTGCTTGCAAGAGTTCTGGGGCAGACGTACTGCTTCGTTTCCAACGAGTGCATGTCCCATAACATCCTGCTGAAATCCTATAACAAATCCTGTAACATTTATAGCACAAATGTTGCAAGGTGTCCCAATTTTGTTGCAATGCCGTGATAACATTGGAGAAGCAGCTAATAAAGCAGCATGGTGTGTGAACAGTCCACTATAAGTCTACAACTAATGCACTATTATTGTATCAATGACATGTTGCAGAATATACAAAAAGCAAACCAAGAAATGCAGCCCCCGCCAGTCTGGAGGGACCCTCAACCACATTGCATCCTACTCCTTTTTCATCACATATTGCTGTAGAAGCATCAAGCATGCAATTTCCTCCCCAGAGGAATGGGTGGTTACTAATCCTAAGAAGTGTCTAGGCACCTAGTACCAAGATGGGATACTTAGTTGGATGGGAGGACGTGCTTGACCTGGTGAACCTGTTCATACTTTTTGACAGTTGTGGCCTCTTCTTTGTCCTGGAGTTTCTATTTGTCAATTACACCAGTCTGAATGGCTAGTAATTAGCAGAGCGATCTGGCTTCCCTTCTGGGAAATCACCCTGCTTAATACAGCCAGACACTACAGGGCGATGCCTGGAGGAGCCAGCCAACCATTAAATTGTTAATCTGCTTCAGGGGGCCTGGCAGACTCCAGCCCACCCATGCACAGAGGAGGGGGGTCAGAAAGGACAGAGGAAGGTGATAAGACGCAAAGGAGGCCAAGGATCTCCTGCGTTTAGAGGTTGTGTGGAGGCAGCAATTTCAGCAGGAGCAGCTGCACCAGCCAAAATTCCATATACTGCCCCAAATGGGAAGAAGAAGAAGAAGAAGAAGAAGAAGAAGAAGAAGAAGAAGAAGAAGAAGAAGATATTAGAGCCCCAGTCTGCCTTGGCCTGGAAAAGAATGCAGTTATGACCCTGTGCCAAGTCTGGCCAGATGCAAAGGATGACAAGGTGCCTCTATTTTTAATTTCTCCACCCTTGTATTAACTGTTTCCCTCTTCTCAAGGGCTCAGGAGCAGCTGGCCACCCTACCTGTTCTCTGACACAGCTTGGAAACAGAATGAAGTATTCTGACCCCACACTCTGTAAGAGAGACTCTCGTACATGGGCAGCGTTCTAGTTACAGACAACTAAATAATGAAGCAGCTTCTCTGTGAACTAACGTAAAGGTCAGATTGAATGTTTAGCCATACCAATAAACTATACCTAAGATCAAATTCATTTTCATGTCTTGATAAGCACTACAGAGGATAATTCAACAGAGAGTCATTGTGCTTCATTCATGCACTCATATACAGTACTGCCTTTCTACTATGTCACCAAGAAGTGATTCACAATTTTTAAATATAAAAACAAGCAAAAGTTCTCTCTGGCTGGCTGGTCAGGAGCCAATTAAACTTTTTTTTCTGGTATCTTGGATGAAGCAGAGAACAGACACAGACACTCAAACCTAACAGGGGGAAACGATTTCCATGCATCTGTAAATAAGCTGTAAGACACCAAAACAAAAACTAATGAAACTATTTAACTTTACCTTTGAAGATTTTTTTCCTTGAACAAGGCTGCTTTGCTTCTGTCCATGTTATGATGCCGCCACCCAGTGGTGTAATAATGCAATCTCCCCCTAATTGAAATTAGGACTGAATCCGTATAGGCTCAACATGTGAAAGCAAGAGGAATGTGTCTGCTTTCCTTGCATCCCACCTCCACCAGTTGCAGTAGCCCTGGGTGCACAGAGCCTATAGCCCAATGCATGCATTATGTGCAGGGTATAGCTGAACAGAGAATGGAGCAGGGCTGCGCTTTCAACCTACTTCCAATGCTGGGTCTTCCTTCTCCAACAACTAGGTGTGCACAGTTAGCTGCAAGGAAAGCCCAGCATGGGAGCTCCAGCTTAATGGGACTTCTCTAAGTAAACTTGCGTAGGATTGGACAGTAGTGGTTTTTTGACTGCTCCAACATGGGAATTCTTCTGTTATTTGTTTCACTCTAAAAATGTCGGTACGACTATCATATTCTCAGGGTTAGCATTTTTCTTTCAAAGATAATGACTTAATAACTATTGAGTTCAATATTTTATTTTAGGAAATTCTAAAAGCTGAAATTATATATTGTGTTTCTCCAGAAGCCTCAATGGGGCTTGCTTCTCAGGAGGCACTTGTAGGACTGTGCCGAGAACCACCTGTAGCTGAAAAGGGCTCCAATGAGCAGAAGTTTAAACCATCACTGCTCCTTGATGGAGCAAGGCTAGGGAGCCTGTGGTGCTCCAAATATTGCTAGACTAAAAAACCCATTATCCCTGCCTATTGGCCATGCTGCTTGGGGCTGGTGAAGTCTAACAACAGTTAGAGGACCACGGGTTCCACATCCCTGGATTAAGTTGAGTGGCACTTTTGTGTTGCCTAGATGAAAAAAGGGAAATAGGAGGAGCACTGTGTGAGAGAGGGAATTGGGTAGAATTTTTTCCCCCTTTGCATCTCCTTTCCTAATGTCATTTTAAAATAAGGTTACCAGACATCCCCGTTTCCTGGGGACAGTCCCTGGATTTACAAATCAGTTCCCTGACAAAATCCATCTATTTAGTAGGAAGTTGAAAAGTGTCCCCAGATTCATTGAAAAAAATCTGGTAACCTTATTTTAAAAGTTCTATCCTTGAGGCAAGGGCACTCATACTTTTAATCCCTCTCCAACCTTATTCCTCTCTTTGAGCTCTTGGAATAGGACATCCTTAAAGCGCTGGATAAACCTATGACATACTAAACGCTCGCCTGATAGTTTAGTGTGTCATGGGTTTTGTGTGTGTGTGTGTGTGTGTGTGTGTGTGAGAGAGAGAGAGAGAGAGAGAGAGAGCAGAGAACCTAAAAGTGCCACCTTACCATTCTTGAAGAATGCTCTAAGGGTGTAAGTAGCCTTCTGGCCAGCAGAAATGGCTGTGGTCATCTTTTATCCCCCCCCCCGCGCGCCACATTCATCCAGAAATGTAGCGCAATCGAGGCTCCCCTTCTAGCTGGGGGCGACTAACGATACTATGGTGCGCGGTTTTGAAGTCGCACTAGCCTCTGAAACTAACGTGTCGTGTTTCTCGGGATTTGCACCCACCCAGCAGAAGTCGATTCAGGAAATCTGTCGCTGCCTTTTAGGTAACTCCTTAGTGTACCAACTTGTTACACGTGTGTGTGTGTGTGTGTGCGCGCGCGCGCGCGCCCTCCTTCCCTCTCTCTCCCTTTATACACGTGTCCTGGCGAAGATGCTGCAGAAGAAGCAGCTTGGCTTCGGATCGAGGTTTTTCGTTTTTAGCCAACCTTTGGGGGAACAGATCTTGGCACGCATGCCTGCCCTCACCTGCTCGGGGCTCCAGCCTGCGGCTTGGAAAGAAGACTCCTCGTCCTCCTCGCCTGTTGCGCTCCTTCGAGGAGGGGCCGGCGCTTGGATCGGCGGCCAAGGGGGCCAATGGCACTGCTGCGTCCCTGCCATGCGGCGCCTTCTTCCGCCCATCGACAGCCAAGCCGATACCTCTGCGGCTGCTCCGCCCCTTCTCTCCGCCCGCTGGCTCGTCTCCTTCTTCTGCCGGAGCCACTGCCGCCTCCGTCTCCTTTAAGAGCAGCCTGCGAGCTATATATCCCGCGCCGGAAGCGGAGGAGCGCGTCGGGTTCATCCTCGCCGAGAAGGTCCCTGTGCCTGGTTCGCGACGGGGAGGAAAAGGAAGAGGAGACCAGCAGCTGCCGCCGCCGCTGCACACTGTGAGCGGCTCCTGGTTATGGGGAGAGCGCCGGGCTCGACCCGATGTCAAGGCCGTGAGTAGATCCACATTCCCTTGGAACTGCATGCAGCGTGCTGAAACGAGAGATCCCTTCTGGCAATCCGCTTAACCCCCCCCCCTTTTCCCCAGGCGCTGTGATCCATTTTGCACCATCACCATCCACGCGCCGCCTTTCGGTATGCTTCTTGTTTTGTGGAATCTGTCGTCGACCCCCTTCCGACGTTTACTCGGCCTGCCCTTCCTAGTAATGGTGGCGGTGAAATGTGGGGGAACCTCCGTATTCCCAGAGTTTACTGCTTGAGGCTTATTTTTAAGTCCCTTTCCCAGGATAGCCAACACAGACACCCCGCCCCCTCCAAATGTGTTGCACTCTGTTCATTTCAGGACACGCAATGCCGATTCGGGTCTGCTTTCCGTTGAGGGAGCTGAACATGGATCGTGGTGTTATAAAAGCGAACTAAAAATATCCTTTGTTTTGATGTAGTGTGCCATAAACGATACCCTCCGTGTGAAAAGGAGTAGTCAGTAGTGCCCTCCCTTATTCTTTTAATACTTGCCTGGAAGCCAGTCTTGCTGTTTTTTATTTATTTTCAAACACATGTAGCCTTTGCCACTGAAATACAGGTAAAAGGTTACTCGCTGCTCCCACTCCAACAGCAAGCATTCCTTAAAGAAGGCAAAGATAAGTAAGCATATAATCTGTTCAGTTTTTGGCAAGGTAGTGACAGGCTTCCATCTTCCCAGAGGAACAGGAAGCTGGCTTATCTGGAATCAGGTCATCCACTAGTAGTTTTTTCCCAGGGTTTCAGAGTGGAGTGTCTCGCAACCCTATCTGGAGACCCCATGAACAGAACCTGGGACCTTCTAAATGCAAAACAAATTGGAGCTACAGCCCCCCCCCCCCGCGCGCTCCTTGCTAGCGCTGGGAAAGGTTGTGTGTACAGATTCTGGTTTCAGGCATATCATAGAGTTCGAAGACGACCTCAAAATTCTTCTAGTCAGGCCTTCTGCTAATACAGGAAATCTGCTGCTCATGGGTGGCCGTCCAGCCTCTAACAAAGGAGAGTGTACCACTTTCTTAGGTGGGCTCTTCTGGTGTTGAAGAACTTGTGCAGTTGGGATGTTTCCCCCAAGAGTCAGAATCTGCTTATGAGTTATCTGTAACAGCTTTCATGTACCTTGGGTTACAGACGCTTCAAGTTAGACTCCGCTAACCCAGAAATAGTACCTCGGGTTAAGAACTTTGCTTCAGGATGAGAACAGAAATCGCACGGCGGCAGCAGGAGGCCTCATTAGCTAAAGTGGTACCTCAGGTTAAGAACAGTTTCAGGTTAAGAACGGACCTGCAGAATGAATTAAGTTCTTAACCTGAAGTACCACTGTATTTGATTAATCCACTGGTCAATATAGTGAGGAGGTGTTGCAAGGAACTAGAGGTGTCAAGATGGTCAAGTGTGAGAAACTATGTCACCTCTAACACACACCCTTGCTATCCTTGATGTTGTCCCAGCCAAGTCTCTGTCCTGTCCACCTGCCGAAAGTGTTAAGGATCTCTGGTGATAATTGTCCCCCCCCCCTGCATCCTATTAACTTGCCATGACCAAAACCATGCCCCATGAGCTGGTTCACATGTAGCGCTAAGCCAAATCATGACTTGGCACAATTCGGAGGGTCCCTGGAGAAGGGATTGCTGCAAACAAAGCCAAGGTTTAGCTTAGGGTGTTGCCCTCACCTGTGTTCATGCATCGTCTTGCTCCTGGCTAACCTTGGCTTGTGGTTTGTCTTAAGTGCTCAGTTGGTTAGACCATGGTGCTGATAACGCCAAGGTTGCAGGTTCGATCCCTGTATGGACCAGCTGCATATTCCTGCATTGCAGGGGGTTGGACTAGATGATCCTCAGGGTCCCTTCCAACTCTACAGTGCTATTCTATGCTAAACCATGATCCCAGGTTTAGACAGCACGCTAGGCCAAACCACAGTTTGGCTCACAGCAGTGCAGCAACAGCAGGATAGGAGGAAGAGCAAAGCAGCAATAATATACTCTCTGGGGAACCCCCCCCCCATGCTAAACATACAGTGGTGCCCCGCAAGACGAATGCCTCGCAAGACGAAAAACTCGCTAGACGAAAGGGTTTTCTGTTTTTTGAGTCGTTCCGCAAGACGAATTTCCCTATGGGCTTGCTTCTCAAGACGAAACGTCTTGCGAGTTTGTTTCCTTTTTCTTAAAGCCGCTAAGCCGTTAATAGCCGCTAAGCCGTTAATAGCCACTAAGCCGCTAATAGCCGTGCTTCGCAAGACGAAAAAACCGCAAGACGAAGAGACTCGCAGAACGGATTAATTTCGTCTTGCGAGGCACCACTGTAGTTTGACTTAGTGTTAAGTGGGAACCAGCTCACTGCACCTCTAAAGACCATCTAAGTGGGCCTGGAATAAGACTACTGGTCCTCTACTTGGCCCTTTCCTTCCAGTGGCCCCTCATTCCTCTACCCCACAGCTCCCTAACAAAGGAAGACTTCCTTCTATCCTGTTCCTTGCCAAACTATGACATTTTGACAGCTTTCAAGTGATGTAACAGAATAAATTATGTCAATGAAACACTTAATGCACACTTGCATTTTCTTTTCATTAATGGAGCAGATATTGTGCTGCCTTGACATAGAGCCGGACCTTCAGACCTTTGGAGCAATATTGCATTTGACTCAGCCAATTTCACTCTTTCAACTTCTTCTGCTTTCTTTGCCCTGCCAGGTCTTCTTGGTGGTAGAATGCAACTCAGGGAGGCCAGATGCTGAGCGCTGCCTCATGTAGGTGTCCAGTTCCATCCGTTTTGCCCTACTATGATGGATGAGTGGAAGCCCAACCCAGTAGCCAATCCACGGAAGAAACGCAGCTGGTACCTGGCCTGGAAGTACAAGCTGACAAATCAGAGGGCTCTGAGGAGGCTCTGTCAGGTGAGAGAGCAGGTCCCTTGGACTCTTGGTTGAGCTCTGCTTGCTGGAGTAATGTGCTGCATCAGGTGCAATTAGGGTTGGCGTTATTATTAATAGAAGACTGTTGACTTTAAATGCTTTTGGGTGATGCGGTCTGCGCTTGAGGAAACCTACAAGTGGAGTGAATAAGATAAAGTGATTCTTTATAGGCACCAAATGATATCTCTGCATTGTTTCTATTAAAAGGGCAGGATCCTGTGGCATTTTGAAAGCTAGCTGATTTTATTGTAGCATGAGGTCTTGCTTACAAAAGCCCTGGCCTGTGAAAGCTCATATTACGATAAGTATTGGTCAAGAAGGTGCCATGGGATATCTCTGTTGCTTAGCTTGCAGCAGACGAGTGCAATTACCCTTGACCACCTTTCAGCAAATGGAAAGGGAGTTGCGCTTTCTCCCTCCCTCCCGCATCTAGCTATATCTCTACCTATAAACCAGTGGATTTACAGTGATGTTGAGAAAAGTTTTTTTCAGACTGTCAATTCTGCCTTTTTACTAGCGGCACTGAATGGGTTTCAGTTAAATGCTGCAACAGAAGGAGGAATGGAAAGAGTAGCTTCCAGAGACAGATCTTCATCCTGGATCATGTCTCTTTGCAATGTTTCTATCTTACTTCTTCCCCCACATATTTTTTTAGATGCACTGATTTGCTCCTTGTTCTCTGTAGTGCAGTTTTTTTCAAGAGATCTGTTTATGCAACAGAAGGTTGCTACTAAGTTGCCCCCCCCCCCCCGGACAATCTTGTGACAATTTGAGGAAGAAAATATTTTTGCAAATTTTTATATACTAAGACGTAGAAGCTGAAGCAAAAGGTGGCAAGAGTTACGGCAAGGACAGTAAACAAAGGTGGGGGGGGATAAGCCTGAAGGAAAGTAGCTGATAACTTCTAGAGAGATGCTGAGGCTCAAGGCTACCTGAAAGAGGTTTGTGGTGCATATGGAATTTTTGAAAGTCTCTTCAGTGCTACTTCTTTATATGTTGTTGTTAAGCATTGAAAGCACAGCCCTTGCTTCCTAATTGCAGGTGACTAAGGATGGGTTGGGGTTGAATGGTGAAAGAAATGCATTCTGTTGAGAACTGCAACAAAATATTGCAGCATGGAATACTCCAGCCATAGTTGCTTCCATGATATTCCACTCCATTCCCCACCCAGAAGTCAGTCAGCATTCTGTAGCCACTGAACATGGTCAATCCTAACTGGACTTTTTTGCAGGGCTCCCCCTTAATTTTTCTTTCTAAATAATTTTTGAACTTCTGCAAACTGCAGGCTGTCCTCAAACCTGTTCATACCTCCCCTCTTGTGCACAGAGAGTGCAGTTTTGCATATCTAGGGATCCACACTTGGAGAATGAGCTCAGTATTATAAGCTTATAATAATCAATGTCTATGGCATCTTGTAATGCTTCATAAGCAATAGAGGAGTGCCTGCCCCAAAGGAGCTTACAATCTAAACTTGAAAAGGGGGGAGAGGACTGGAGAAAATAGTGTGGAGGGGGATATAAATTTGGGCAAATGGAGGTCACCCATATTTTCAGGAAAAAATTCCAGTGTTATTACTTTTCCTCAGAAAATGTTTCCTGAATTCATTTGTTTACTAAATACAAGTAAAATGTTTACTAAATACAAGTAAAATATGCATGCTAAAATAGATGACCCTCTAGGGTCCTACACATAATTCACCGAGGAATTGTTTTTTGGAAGATGCACATCATAAAATGTGCTAAAATTGGGGATGAGGATTAAGGGGGCCACATGGGAAGTGTGGACTTTGAGGAGGCATTTGAAGGGAGAGAGTGAGTTAGCACTGCATGCAAGTTCAGCAATGGAGAGCAATGACCTCAAAAACACTTACCGAAATTTTCAAGTGTTCTTGTTTCAAGAATTGTGCAACCTTCCAGCAGCCTTCAAGAAACGTGACATTTCAATAGACAGAGAGGCATAGCAAATGTGTTCCAATATCTTGTCTGGATCCCATGTCTCCAAACAGCAAGCTTAATACAAAGCTGTCAGTGTTGAGGGGAAAGCTGACACCTTAATTGCACACAGACAGGGCTCTTCAAGTTCGGGTTCCCATAGAAACCCATGTTGCCCTGTATTCCTGCATCATCGGGAGATTGTTCATCATGGCACCTGCTGTGGCAATAGGCAATACTCTGTCAACCACAGTTCCATAACAACGTAATGGAGGCAGTAGCGTTGGCCCTCCTCAAAGGGATATCTAAAACTTGAAGGACCTGACTGTTGAACAATCTGAGTCTTGATATGGGAAAGTTGCTCTGTTCCGAAAACCTTTTGCTGTGTCCTACAGGAGATTAGCAGAGATAGAGGCTATGAAAGCATCTGAATTATGGGTCTTGTGGATAGTGTGTCTTCTGGGATGTTTTCACCTGTAAGGAAAGAGATAGCTGAAATTCTGCTCTGTTAAGAGACACCAAAACTTGCAGCTATGACAACCTCAGTTTTCATAAGTTACCGTATTTTTTGCTCTATAAGACACACTTTTTCCCTCCTAACAAGTAAGGGGAAATGTGTGTGCGTCTTATGGAGTGAATGCAGGCTGTGCAGCTATCGCTGAAGCCAGAAGAGCAAGAGGGATCGGTGCGCAGCGATCCCTCTTGCCCTTCTGGTTTCAAGGATAGCCACACAAACCCTCTTGAGCACAGCGGAAGCGCTCCTCCCTCTTCGCTCAAGAGGCTTTGTGTTTCTTTATTGTCTCTTGTTTTCCTTCTCTAAAAACTAGGTGGGTCTTCTGGTCGGGTGTGTCTTATAGAGCAAAAAATACGGTAAATAATATTTGCAAATGAGGCTGTACTGAATACACGTAAATCTTCCTGCCAGCCATGTGCTCCAGAGGATCCCCGGAGCAGATTGGAGTGGTGGTGCAGAGACTGCAGAAGAGGGGAGAGGAATGGGAACTCTCATTCATACAAGCTAACATCCATTGCACAAGCAGTCTGCTTCAGCTGGATATGGCCCAGCAAATTGAAGCAAAGTTTATTTGCAAAAACTTGTGTGGCAAATGCTGCATAGCTCTGAGAACCTTTTCCAGGCCAAGTGGTTCTCTTTCCTGTCCTCTCCCTTTGGAGAGTTGGAATCCTACAGCATCTGGAGGTTCCCCATTCTTAATTTGGGGCTTTATCTTGGTGAATATAGGGTGGCATTAACCATTTCTTACAGATATATCACATATTATTGCATAAATCAGCTTTCCAAGTTGTGCAGCCTTTTGTTTCAGGAGCAATAGGCGAGCAGGGGCTACACATTTTATTTTTTAAAAATAATTAGTATTTCTTGACTATTTTCTTGAATTACAAGACAAATAAAAAAGGGAAAGTACATATACCATCTCCACTTTCAATTCATAGTATTTTTTACAGTTCATTTACATTCGGTATGAGACACTAATGTCATAGACATCTTGCGGTTGCGGGAATAGAAAGGGGGGAGATTATTTTTTCATTCTATTGCATGGTGTTAGTGTAGGCATTTGTGACATCATCACATGAGTAGGTCCTTTATTTTACACATTTATTCATATTCCTTGGCATTGCAACCACTTTGCAACAATTTGTGGAGACACAGTGGGTCTAGATTCCTTCCAAGCAGCTGGTTTTCACTGACCTGAAATCTGATGTCACTTATGTCAATCTAATGTCAACAGCAAGTCAACTTGATATTGGAGAATGGCCATTGATATTAACTACAGATTGTTGTACGACAGTGCTGCTACACCCTGTGCTAGAAAGCTAAAAACTGCCTGTAATGACAATGGATAGTTTTCAACAACACCCATTTAAGAGGTGCCAGATGTTGGGGGTTGGGAGTGTTTGTTTTTTAATTCTGCTTGAATGCCTTGCAGAGAGAATGTTCGTTCATAATGATCTAGCAATTCATTGTTACTTGGTGCCCTCTGGCTTATCTTCCTAGTATCGTGGGCTAAACCAAGATTGAGAATTGTAGTAACAATAGCTATTTTTCTTGGATCAGAGTGAAGAGACCGGCAATTGCTAAGGAAGCTTCTGTTTGGAATACAAGGCTAGCAGACAAATGTTTCTGCAACAATCAAAATGTCAGAACAGGGTTTTGTTTTTCTGCTACACATTTTGTAGGTAACATTTGAAATCCTCCTTGCGGCATGCCACTTGGCCTTGGTCTCTGCTGAGTGCAGTTTATTTAAAGAATTGTGTGCCACTTGACGATATTGCCATTATCAAATGTTGGAAGGCATGCAGCATCTGTCACATGACCCCAAACTGATTTCCATCTCCAAATGCCAGCAACTCAGTTCTGAGGAATTTAAATAATGTCTGGTTACTTTTGGGAGAAAACCGAATATATTTGCACCTTTATGCATGGGAAAGGGAATGTGTGGTTATGGGTGACAAGCTTTAAGAAGGTAGGAGGCCCCCATTCCCATATAAGACACTGTAAAATTTTTCTGGGGAAAACAACTCCTTTTAGATGTGAATGGAAGTAGCAAGTAGAGGTATAGGTAAAAGGTACGTCAAAATAATTAAAGAGCTATGGTTCTGCTCTTTAGCCCAACACTACATCTTTGCTTTCATGTCCTGCTATGCAGGAGATGCTTTTCAAGACAGAAGGACTTCTAAGGCATCAGATTAGTAATACTTATGGTCTAATGTTAATTGCTTTGCAGATGGGGGCTGTTCTCTTTTTGCTAGTGACTGTGATTGTGAATATAAAGCTGATATTGGACACTAGAAGAGCAGCCAATGAAGAGGAGGAATCTTCTCAGGATTATGGTGGGTATGGAGTGTTGTGTCTAGGTGACAGCAGTAGAATGTCCTTTATAGCAGAGGTCAAGCTGGTATCTCCCCTGCTCAGCATGCCCTAGCATGTTAAATCTCCTGCCTAATGGGTAGCATGCAACATTCCTAGATACAATAGTGTTGTTCACGGTCTGCTGCGGCTTTGCATGAAAAGTGTATTCTTCAGCTGGTTTGGAAAGAGAGAGAAAAATTCCTTAGAGAAAGGTGTATGGATGTAAGAGCTTAATGACACCTTCCAGTTATTCAGATCCATCCAAGGAGACCTCTAAGAACCTCAAACGCATGGTCAAAGCATCCACTTGGAGCATTTCTGTTAGATAATCAAACCTTTAAATGGAAGGAGAGAAATATTCAAGGGACATCAAGTGGAAGGCTGCCACTAAATATCTAGTTTCCCTGAACTTGGGGGTGAAAACATATGTTGTATTATGCTCCTTTTGGAATCTAGATCTTTGGATTATATTTTCTGGGAGTGAGTTGATTGTGGGGTTTTTTAAACCAGAGTTTATCAGTAGCTGGAAGTAAATGGTTTGTTCCCCTCCCTAGATGAAGGCTTGCAGAACCCAGAGATCCCTCGACGACCAGTCAGCAGCAGGAAGGTTCTGGATATTGAGGTGTACTCCAGCCGCTCCAAAGTCTACGTGGCAGTGGATGGGACGACGGTGAGGGACTCCGCTGCAGCTATAAGGGGAGATGCAATAACTGGGGAAACTGGAAGTTCTCATATGCATGGCTTCAGAGCAAAGCACAGCACCTTTTGAAACAGAGAGGCTCGTTACGCTTTGCAGCACAATCCCACATGTTGAAGATGGGGAACCTGTGCTCCTCCAGATGTTGGTGGGCTATAAATTCCATCACCCCTAACCATTGGCCATGGTGGATGCAGCTGATGGGAGCCGCAATCCAGCAGCATCTGGAGAGCTGAATGTTCCCCCATCCCTGCTGTATGTGTTTACTTGGAAGTAAATGCCACCGTGTTTAAGAGGGCTTACTCCTTGGTCCGTGGATTTGAGATTAAGGTGCTTACTTAGTATTTCTTTCTACCAGGGACAGGGAACTAATGGCTGATGTTGGACTCAAACGTCCTTCAGCCCCAGCCAGCATGGTCAATAGTGAAGCATGGTGGAAATTGTAGTCCAAAATCTGGATTAGGGGAGGTGCAGTCCAGCATTAAGTTAACCATCTCTGTTTTTATAACTGTATTTCACCAACCACTGTCATCTGATGGGGCTTTTGCACCTCAGCTTTCAAGTTCTTCAGGGTAAAGCAGGCTTCCTCAAACTCGGTCCTCCAGATGTTTTGAGACTACAATTCCCACCATCCCTGACCACTGGTCCTGCTAGCTAGGGATCATGGGAGTTGTAGGCCAAAAACATCTGGAGAGCCGAGTTTGAGGAAGCCTGGTGTAAAGCTTACTGTATCTCTTGTCTACACTTTGGGTGGTTTTCCTTAAGCAAGAAATGTGGTGGTAAACAGTCAGTTCTGTGGGGCCACAGGACTTCAGCAACTAGTGGGGGACATTCCTGCAAGAAAGCTTATTTCTGCCAAAGGGGTGTGGTGGCAGCTAGAGGGATGGAGTATTATTATAGTTTCTTTTATCATAGTACAGGTTTTGGAAGATGAAGCCCGGGAGCAAGGCAGAGGCATCCACGTGATTGTGTTGAATCAGGCTACAGTAAGTGATTAAGCCATAGATTGACTTGCTGAAAGAAGCTACTTTGCATCTCAGAAGCCAGATGTATTTACAATTGTGTGGAAGTGACTGGTTAACTGTAGGGAAGTCGCTGAAACTAGAAATAGCTCTGATTGCATCATTGATTCTGAAGCCTGCTCTTCTAGAGTTGGGACCCAAATCCCACCCATTCTTCCTATCACTGGTGGCATCCTAGCAGGCAACAGCATGATGGCAATCTGCAACAGAGGCCTGCAAGCCACCTGTCTCTTTAACAACCCCACAGAGCCCCGTGTGGTGCTACATTGGGGCACCATGGGGATATCCAGAATGGCAGCTTCCTCTCCACCCTCTGCCGCTGCTTGGCAGACTTTATTTTTTTTTTAAAAAAAAAAAATTTATTGGTTTTACAAAATTTTAAGAACAAACAAACACTTAAAAAGACATACAAACACGTATAATTTCATAGTGTTTTTCATAAACCTCTTTTCTGAGACTCCCCCATACCCCCCCCTTTCTGCATCCCAATGTCCATAGTTTTATAGCAACTCCCAATGTTACTTTCCAACCTCTGTCCTTAGTTATCTCTATAATCTGACCTTATATCACTGTCTCCCTTTGTTTCTGAAAATCATAACACTCTAACATTCATCAAGTTTATAATAGTCCTTAAGATAACTTTTGAATTTTCTCCATTCTTCTTCCACCGTCTCTTTTCCTTGGTCACAGATTCTGCCTGTCATCTCGGCCAGTGTCATATAGTCCATCACTTTCATCTGCCATTCTTCCAGAGTGGGTAGATCTTGTGTCTTCCAATACTTTGCGATAAGTATTCTTGCTGCTGTTGTAGCATACATAAAAAAAGTTCTATCCCTCTTTGGCACCAATTGGCCGACAATGCCCAAGAGAAAGGCCTCTGGTTTTTTAAGGAAAGTACTTTTAAGTACCTTTTTCATTTCATTATAGATCATTTCCCAGAAAGCCTTAATCTTCGGGCATGTCCACCAAAGGTGATAGAAGGTACCTTCAGTCTCTTTACATTTCCAACATTTGTTATCGGGCAAATGGTAAATTTTTGCAAGCTTGACTGGGGTCATGTACCACCTGTAAATCATTTTCATTATGTTTTCTCTTAAGGCATTACATGCCGTAAACTTAACACCGGTGATCCATAACTGTTCCCAGTCAGCAAACATAATGTCATGACCAATATCTTGTGCCCATTTAATCATAGCTGATTTCACCGTTTCATCCTGTGTATTCCATTTCAGCAACAAGTTATACATTCTTGATAAATTCTTAGTATTGGGTTCTAACAGTTCAGTCTCTAGTTTTGATTTTTCCACCTGAAAGCCAATTTTCCTGTCCTGTTTGAAAAGCTCCATTATTTGATGATATTGAAGCCAATTTTGTACTTTATGTTTCAATTTCTCATAACTTTGTAATTTCCACTTATCTCCATCCTGTTCCAAGATTTCCCAATACTTCGGCCATCCGACCTCCATATTGAGTTTCTTTACTGCTTTAGCCTCCACTGGTGACACCCATCTAGGGGTTTTGTTTTCCAACAGATCTTTATATCTTATCCATACATTAAACAATGCTTTTCTAACAATGTGATAAAGGCACTATGCAGCTTGATTTTGTCATACCATAGATATGCATGCCAACCAAAAACATTGTTAAAACCTTCCAGATCCAAAATGTCTGTGTTCTCGAGGAGCATCCATTCTTTCAGCCAGCAAAAAGCTGCTGCCTCATAGTACAATTTTAAGTCCGGCAGGGCAAAACCCCCTCTTTCTTTAGCGTCTGTCAATATTTTAAATTTGATTCTGGGCTTTTTGCCCTGCCAGACAAATTTCGAAATATCTTTCTGCCACCTCTTAAAACATTCCATCTTGTCAAGAATCTGCAAGGTCTGAAACAAAAATAACATTCTAGGCAATACATTCATTTTAATCACTGCAATTCGGCCTAACATTGACAATTTCAAATTTGACCATATTTCTAGATCTTTTTTGATCTCTGACCAACATTTTTCATAATTATCCTTATACAAATTCACATTTTTAGATGTCAAATAAACCCCTAGGTATTTCACCTTCTTAACCACCGTCAACCCTGTCTCCTCTTGGAATTTCTCCTTTTCCATATCTGTTAAATTTTTTCCTAAGACTTTGGTTTTTTGTTTATTCAACTTAAATCCAGCTACCTGGCCAAACTGTTGGATTATTTCTAGAACCTTTTTCGTACTAGTGTTTGGCTCTTGCAAAGTCAATACTAGGTCATCTGCAAATGCTCTTAACTTATAATGTTTAGCTCCGACCTGCACTCCTTTAACCTGCTGGTCATTCCTAATCATATTCAGCAACACCTCCAGAACCGAAATGAAAAGTAATGGGGAAATTGGGCACCCCTGTCGTGTTCCTTTTTCTATCTTAAGCTCCTCAGTTATCACATTATTTACAATCAATTTAGCTTTTTGTTCAGAATATATTGCAGCCATGCCATTCTCAAAGCCTTGTCCTACCCCCATCCCATGAAGATTCTTTATCATAAAGCTCCAAGAAATATTGTCAAAGGCTTTCTCCGCGTCCACAAAGATCAGTACTGCTTTAGTATTTATATTCACCTCTAGCTTTTCCAAAATATCTATTATATTCCTTACATTGTCTGCTAGGTGTCTTTTTGGGAGAAAGCCTGCTTGATTCTTGTGAATCTTTTCCATCAACACTTTTTAAAATCTTTTTGCCAAAATGTCTGCAAAAATTTTGTAATCCACATTAAGTAGTGATATTGGGCGGTAGTTCTTCAGTTGAGTCTTTTCAGTCTCTGTCTTTGGTATGAGTGAAATGTATGCTTCTTTCCACGATTCAGGTGCCTTTTTCCCCTCAAAAATCTCATTACAGACTTCTTTTAGTGGTTGAGTCAACCATTCCTTCAAGGATTTGTAGTATCTAGAAGTCAATCCATCTGGTTCTGGAGATTTGCCCAATTGCATATTCTGAATGGCATCCTCTATCTCTTGTTCTGTTATTCTCTGGTTCAGATCTATCTTACTTTGATGAGAGATTTTTGTAATCCATATTTATCAAGGAATTTGTCTATATCTTCTTCATTTTGCGGGCCTTGGGTATAAAGTTTTTTAAAATAACTCAGGAAGCAATTTCTAATTTCATTAGGTTTAGATATATTCTTTCCATCCACTTCTAGACTTGTAACTGTATTTAATTTCTGCCTTTTCTTCAATTGCCATGCCAGAAGTTTGCCACATTTATTTGCTGATTCAAACGTCTTTTGTTTCATTTGCTTTATCTTCCATTCAATCTCTTGGTTCATCAATTCCATATATTGTGTTTGATATAACTTAATCTCTCTTAAGATCTCCTGGGACTTTGGTTTTACTCTTAATTTTTTCTCTCCTTCCTTTATCTTTTCCAAAATCTTTTCTTTTTCTCATTTTGTTTTTTCCTCTTTATTGAGTTTTGTTGAATCAAGAAACCTCGCATCACCGCTTTGCTTGCGTCCCAGACCACTCTTTTCTCCACATCAGCCCTCAAATTTATTTCAAAATAGTCTTTTAAGGTTTTTTGGGCCTTCATAAGAATCTCCTTATCTCGAAAGAGGGTGTCATTCATTCTCCATCTAAATTGACCAGTTGTTGTAAATTTCATTTCCATCTTCACAGCGTTATGGTCGGAGCAAGTTTTTGGGCAGATTTCTACCTTCTTAATCTTTGGAGCCATACCACTAGTGATCCAAATTTGATCAATTCTGGTCCAGGTCATCATTGCTTGGGAGAAGAAGGTTCCCTCTCTCTCCAGAGGGTTCCTTGTTCTCCATATATCTATCAAATCCATGTTTTCCGTCATTTCAAAAAAGGTCTTAGGGAGTCTCCCTTCCTTGGTAACTGTTAATCTTTGTGCCTTGTCCATGTTAGTGGAAACCACACCGTTCATGTCTCCCATAATTATCATATTGTAATCCAAATAGTCCGTTAGAGTTTCATGAAGTTTCTTGAAGAAGTCAGATTTACCTTCATTTGGTGCGTAGATTCCAACAACCAAAAATTTTTCTCCTTGTACTTGTATCTGCTTGGCAGACTTTAAGCCAAGAAGCAGGGGTTGCTGGGAAAGCCAGGCTCAGTTGCCAATGAGCCTTCCCAGATGCCCAGCCCTTGTTAGCCCCTTGACCATGCCAGGTGCTGCTTCCTGTGGCTTGCTTTAAAAAAAATGGTGCATGAAGATACAGCACTCATGTTGGTGTGAGATAAAGACCAGCCTGTTTGCTCAGACACTAGAGGATGCCAACATTAATCTGCTGCTGCAATGGGAAGCTGCAAGTGGCTCTGCAGAAGGCTTGTTCTACTTGCTTTTTCTTTTTAACCAACATAATTTTAACAGAATAGCAACCCACCCTGGAATCCTATGATGAAACGTGTGTGAAAAAATATACTTTAAAGCGTGCGTAGAAGTCCCACCATGTGCTTATATAGAACATGAGGAAGATGCACATTGGCTTCAGTTTTTGGCTGACTCTTTTCCAAAGAAGCAGCTGGTTGCGTTTAAAACTCTTGTTGTCATTAGTGGATCTCAGCAGTTGAGCAGGACTCATCCATCCACTGAGGCCACCATCTAATCTGCTTCTGTGTATGAATGCTTAATAGGGTCATGTGATGGCGAAGAGAGTCTTCGACACCTACTCTCCACATGAAGACGAAGCCATGGTCCTCTTCCTTAACATGGTAGCTAGAGGCCGCATTCTTATCTTCACAATTAAGGTAGGTGGGGAGGCTGGAGTTTTTGTTCTTTCTTTTTTTCTGCTCCATAAAGATAAAAAGTGCAGATGTGCTCAGTAGCTTATTTTATTTCAAAGTCATGTAAAATGAAACGCTTCAAAATATTCAGAGTAGGCAGACTTGGACTAACTTTAGCTTTGCAGCTACTAATTTATTTACTTTCCTGTGGCTATAACATACTATGGACTTCTATTTTATGCAGTTGCTGTACATTTACTATTGTGAATGGTATTGTTTTGTATTCTGTTTACTTAATGAATGATATGCTGGGTGGTTCACCCAGAGCGGCAAAAAACTAAAGAAAGTCTAATGCTTAAAAATACTTCTTGATGAAATAATTAGGATTGTATCCTAATCAGAGTACACCCACTGAAAATAATGGACCTAAGATAGTTATGCTCATTAATTTCAGTGGGCCTTCTCTGAGTAAGACTAGTGTTTGATGCAACCTCTTATTCACAAGACAGTGCTCTGCAGATGTTCTTGAGCCAAATGATTAAGTGACTGTGGTGGTCACCAAATGTGGTGACCAAATGATTGGAATGACTGTGGTGGAGCCAAATGATTAAGTAACTTGTTCTCAGCCGAGACAACAAATGCTGTCATAAGCAATGGGCTGCTGGAGTTGGCTTCACCTTATGGTTGCATCCCTGTTGCTCCTTAAAAATCAGAATGCAACAAAGGGGGAAAGGAGATAACACTAAAGGGTTGGCCTAGCTGCCAACATCTGTCTTGGGTGGCTGAACTAACTAGTTCCAATTGCACAACCCATCCTTATTGACATTCTTGTCTGGAGAAAGCTAAGTATCGCTGTTATTCTTGCAGCACCCATTTATGGATGCTCTTTAGCTAGAGGAGCCAGTATGGTGTAGTGGTTAAGAGCAATGGACTCGTAATCTGGGGAACCGGGTTCGCGTCTCCGCTCCTCCACATGCAGCTGCTGGGTGACCTTGGGCCAGTCACACTTCTCTGAAGTCTCTCAGCCTCTCTCACCTCACAGAGTGCTTGTTGTGGGGGAGGAAGGGAAAGGAGAATGTTAGCCGCTTTGAGACTCCTTAAAGGGAGTGAAAGGCGGGATATCAAATCCAAACTCTTCTTCTTCTTTATGCTTTTATCTTCCTGTATAAATAATACACTGTTTTTAACGAAAATGGTAAAGTGGTGCTGAGAAAAGGCTCTAAAACTCTGGAAATTTATCAGGCACAGATTTTTGACCTTAACTTTTTTTTTCAAGTGACATTAGTTGTGCCTCTGTGACAAACTCAGAAGCAAAAATATTGATGGTTATTACAAAAAATAGAGGGGAAATTCTGTGTAATTACAGCCTGGCTTTTCTTCCATTTTTCAGGATGAGGGCTCCTTCCACCTTAAAGACACAGCGAAGAATCTCCTGAAGAGTTTAGGGAGTCAGATTGCGGCTTCCCTCAACTGGAGGGACATGTGGACGTTTGTGGGGAAGAAAGGAGGTCAGGATCTGTTTGTTTTTTTCCCTGACCCAAATCTACATGGGAGAATGTGGGAAAGGAGTTCCTTCTTCTACACCACAATAAAAGCAGAGGTGTCTCCATTCCGCCAGTGCCACTTGGTCACCCTAGATGGGTGTTTAACTAATCCTGCCTTGAGCAGTGGTCCCAATGGGGCACAGAAAGAGAGCAGGCTTGGCTTGATTTCCTTGCTGAGGGTCATGGATCTTGCATAGAAATGGGGGACGTGTGTCCTTCCAGACCTTGCTGGGCTCCGTCCCACCATCTCTGACCATTAGCCATGCTAGCTACAGCTTTGGGGAGCTGGGAGTTGAACAGCATGTGGAGGCCCAAAGGTTCCCTACCTGTTCTACAAGATGCATGTTGTTGTTGCAGCAGCGGCAGCCTAGTGCCAGGCTTGTGCAAGTGGTAATTATATCCTGCAGACCCTGACATGCATTCTTCTCTCTAGGTGAGGTTTATGGTGAAAAATACGCCAAGTCCCCAGTGCTTTCCTCTTGGGGAGAGCCTGTCTTGCTGAAGACTGAAGTCCAACTAACTTCTGTGGAAGGTATGGCCTGCTGGTTCTTCATCGCCATTCCCTGAGCATCATCTTAAGGGGGGAGTTGCAGAGGCAAGGGTTGGGATGACCCAGTGACACCATCCATTTAAAGGGTTCTTTGCCCCTCCTCTAAAGCATCTGTAGTGAGAACTTTGGTGGAGGCTTGTCTAGCTCATAATTGCCTTCGTGTCTCAAAATAACCCTCTTCGTTGTACTCTCAGATGCCGAATGCCGCTGGCCTGACACGGAGCTCAACCGGCGGAGGAAGCGGTTCTGCAGTAAGGTGGAAGGGTATGGCAGTGTCTGCAGCTGCAAGGACCCCACACCTATAGAGTTCAATCCGGACCCAGTGAGTAAGCCTGAGCGAGAGCCCCCTTCTTCCCCAACCTCTTCCAGGAATGGAAGTTGATGAGGAAGCACAAAGGCCTTCCTGGGATCTCCTTAACTAAGCAGCCAGCTGAGAGCTCTGTAAGACTATGGATGGAAGTCACCAAGTGACCTGTGAAGACTCTCAAATATGTAAAGGCCTACTGCCCATCATGCTCTGCCCAGTTCTCAGCCACTTCTTCCGCATTATTTCTAATTCTCAAAGTGATATCTCTCAGTTCCTTTTGCTTGTATGTCTGCGCCTTAAATCCAGTTCTGCTGGATCTCTGCCTTTGATACCATCAACCATGACATCCTTCTGGAGGAGCTGGGGGCACTGTTATACAGTGGTTCTGCTCCTTCCTCCTGGGCCATGTTCAGAAAGTGGTGGTGGGGGATGAGTGTTCAGACCCCTGGGCTCTCACTTGTGGGATGCCTCAGGGTTCTGTCCTCTCCCCCATGCTTTTCAACATCTATATGAAGCTGCTGGGAGAGATCATCGGGGTTTGGGCTGGGTGTTCCTCAGTATGCGGATGACACCCAGCTCTACCTCTCTTTTAAATCAGAACCAGTGAGGGCGGTGAAGTTCCTGTGTGAGTGTCTGGAGGCGGTTGGAGGATGGATGGCGCCTAATTGAGATTGAATCAGGAAATTTTTAATGCCTAGTGTTTTACAATTTTTTATGTGCTGTATGCTGCCCAGAGTAGGGTATAAAATTATTATTATTATTATTATTATTAATTATTTATTTATTATTTATTTATTTATTATTTATTTATTATGAGAGCCAAAAATTAATCCGAGTTGTGAGGGTCTCTTCCCAGTTCTAGGCTACTTAATTTGTAAGGTGTATTTCAAGAGCAAATGGGAAACAGTTGAAGGGTACCTGGCTGATGGAAGTGCTTTATTTGGCATGTCATAAGAAAATCTGTGCTATGCTTAACATAGTTTACCCTTATAAATGTTCCAGAGCAAGAAATTATATGGGTGTGACTAGGAAGAGGGAATGGGTTTGGGGGACAACATGTGCTTTTCCTCTGAAACATCTGCTTTAAGGATCTTTCTTCCACTTTTAGCTCAAAGACAACAAAGTTTTTGATGTGCCTGTTGCTGTCATTGCAGGAAACAGACCTAACTACCTGTACAGGTGAGTTGAGACTGCCTTGGGCCCATTGACAGGGCACTTGGCTGGGGTTTCTAAGCACAGCAGTCGGAAATTGAAAATTCAGCTTCAGCCCTTGCACATTTATTGATAAGTGTAGGAACCTCAAGTTTCCAGGTTCCTTTATAAAGACCCATATTCCTGGCATGCCTCTCCATGTACCCTTTAGCTGGGTGGTGGAAAGGAGAGAGCAAGCACAAAACAATGAGCCACAGAGCTGACTGCAGAGTATCGCCTAGGACAGCTTTGTTGGGCTTGGAATGTGGGAGCCTTGGCTTCTAGCCCTCTTCAAGTGTTGCAATTAGGGTTGAGTAAATGCACAGGCAGGATAACAGGGACAAGCAAACTAGCTCCATCCCCTCTCTGCCTCTCTGCCACAACCTTCCAGCTTGTATAAGGTGATTATCTGATACAGGGAAACTTGTGTTCTCATGGAGGATCCCTGTTCATATTCCTCCATATTCCTGTTCAGAACCCTGATGTTCACTGCTTCAGAATAGTGGTTCTGCCTCAGTGTCTCCCTGCAGGCAGAAAACTAGCAGATGGGGAGAAATATTCCAGCTAGCTTTCTATGTTCAAGACTTTGGAGAGGGGCAGACGTGCCCTCCTGCTGTGCAACATTTACTCTTGTTTTTATTCAATCATCTGTTTCTCTAAATTATATAGCAGGAAAGATCATTAAAGAATAAAAAATTGTTCCTCTTTCCCATAGGATGCTGCGATCGCTGCTGTCGGCACAAGGAGTCAATCCTCAGATGATAACAGTCTTCATTGATGGATATTATGAGGTGAGTCCCTTCTTCCGTTTCATCAAGAACTTTGCATCCTTTCTGATCACAGAATAATGTGCTTTAAAAAATCCCCCAGGGCTGACCCAGGAATTGAGCTTGCATCTTCTACATCCACCTATTGACAAAAAACCCCAGTCTCATTCTGTTGAGGTGCTACTGCTGATTTGCTGAGATCTTCCTTTCCCCTTCAGGCCCTACCACTGGAGAGAAGCAAGGGTCTCTTCTATCCTCCCTGCCCCGCTCCCAGTGAGAAAGGCAAAATGCAGCTGTGGAGCATCAGGTTGTTGTTTGGGCTGCCTTTTAAAGCTTCTTCTGAAACCCCAGCTGCTCTGGAATGCAGCAGCCAAATTAAAATATGAAGCGTCTGGTTCATTTCTGGGCACAATTCACAGTGCTCACATTAGTTTTTAAAGCCCTAAATGACATAGGCCCCAAATATCTGAAAGACTGCCCCCTCCCCATAGACCCTCTTGGATGTTGAGATAAGCAGAGGGGGCCCTTTTGGTCCTTCTGCCACCCTCTTGCTGTAACCCACCCTGGGACCTTATGGTGAAAGACAAGTAAGAAAACTAATGAAAATAACCTGAGGTGCCAACTTTACCTGGGGAATAAGCTGTGCTAGGAGTTCACTGGAACTTACTAGGGAGTAAATGACAGAGGAGTGCAGCTTTTACTGCACTTACATCAGACAGCTTGAGGTAAACTTTCACCTTAACTTCTTCCTGCTGCTTCTCATGAATGCTGACCATAGACTCTGGCTTACTAAATGCACTTGGGAACCTTTCTTTCATTTCAAGGGCAATAAACACTGGTTGTCTTCCTGTACCTTTGTGGTAGCAATACCTTATCGATCGATCTTTGAAGTCTGTTGTACTCCTCTTTAAGGAGTCAAAAATATATGTAGCCATGCTTTCCTTGCCTTGATAAAAAGGAACCAGGGTTGTGGGAGTGTGAATCTCATATGTTTCTTTTTCTTTCCAGGAGCCAATGGATGTGGTGGAACTATTTGGCCTGAAGGGAATCCAGCACACACCCATCAGCATCAAAAATGCCCGAGTCTCCCAGGTGAGGGACCTGTTTTTCTCTTCTCCCCTTGGAAACCATGCCCATGCATTGGGGCAGCCATCTTGCTTGCCTACGAGCCCCTGAGTAACCATGCTTGGCAGCTGTGCGGCAACTGGACCACACAGAACCTTTAGCTCAAGCGTACCAGTCTTTGTTCTCCAGCAATGTGTCTGTGTCTGCGACTGAGCTTAAAAAACCAACCTGGTGTGACTCCAGATGAAAGTTGCATGAAACTCCTGCTGCTATGCCTAAGTGTAATAGAGGTGACCTCTCTGACTGAGGTTACTACCCTAGATGGACCACACTTGTCAGGCGGGGATAGAGATATATGACTTCTGTAAAGTAGTATTTCAGTAGCAAGTCCGAGTCACTGATCTGAATCAGTTGAGTTCTGAATAGTGGTGTAACAGATGGCATCGTTTTCCTCTCACAGCACTACAAGGCCAGCTTGACAGCAACATTCAACTTGCACCCGGTATGTGATCTCCACCACATTTCCCCACTTTCCCCTTCTGAGAGTGACTTAGAAAATTCTACCTTTGATTATATCCTTGTATGCAATCACTGGGGAGGATATTCTGTCCTGAATAAATGATTCTAATGATTACCTGTCATAGAACATGATGTAGCAGAGGCTTTTTTAGTTCAGCAGGCAGTTAACAAACATGCACAGTGACATAACTGTCTCTTATATAGTGCTTGTGGAGGGGGTGGTACCTTCATGCACTGATCAAGCTGGCATAGTTCTGAAACTGAATTGTTGCTAGGAGCACTGGGTCCCCCAAAATTCCTGCATCCCTTGGGTAAGAACGTTGCTTCTGAACTTTGTATCTCATTGGCCTTGCTCACCACCTTCACTTTTCTCTCTTTGTGCTCCACCTTTTTTGTAGGATGCCAAATTTGCCGTGGTTCTAGAAGAGGACTTGGACATCTCCATTGACTTCTTCAGGTATTATCTGAACCCATCAATGAGCCCTAGCTGGGTCCTGATCTCTTTGCTCATTCTGACCAAAGTCACTTTGGATCAACTTGCTGCATGACTTAGAAAACACAACACAATTGTAAAGGGAGTATGAGACTGGTTTCCCAAGCCAGCCCATCAGGAGGGATTCTGAAGGACTGGGAAACTAGACGTAATTCAGACCAATCCTTTATGACAACTTCTCCAGAAATGTGTGCATTAGATTAAAGGGTAAGGTATAAAATAAGTAAAACTCTTGTGGTCATACTTAGTATTTACTCAGATCAATCCATTCGCGCCACTGGATTTGACCCCCTTGCTTGACTTGCAAATCATGACTTTGCTCCATGTGTGATACTTTTGTAAAAGAATGCCCCTGGCCTTAGGTTGATCAATGATCAAAAAACCTCTTTCATCAACCTGATTAAGGTTGGCTTAAACAATGTTTCTTCTAACTGTTTTTGAATTGTTTTCTTTTGATGTATAGCTTCCTAAGCCAGTCCATCTATCTGCTGGAGGAAGACGACAGCTTGTACTGCATCTCTGCCTGGAATGACCAGGTGGGTCTTGCTTTTGATTCTTCATTGCACTTTCCTGCCTCTTTCCTTTTTTCTGCATCACCCTCCTGTGATCAACATACTACTTCCTTCCCTCCCGCCACCTCAAATCAGGGTGAAGGACTTCATGATATGCTCTTGTTATGGAAGTTTGCTTAGGTGCTTCTCTTTTTGGAAAATTAGGGATATGAGCACACAGCAGAGGACCCCTCACTCTTGTACCGTGTGGAGACCATGCCTGGGCTGGGCTGGGTGTTGAGGAAGACTCTCTACAAGGATGAGTTGGAGCCCAAATGGCCAACACCAGAGAAGGTCAGTGCCCTCTCGGTTTCCCTTGTAAAACAAGGCCTGCTCTTTCTATTGCCAAATGGCTACCCTTTGCAGTAGCCATAAATACTAGAGATATCCCTTCTTAAGAGTGTCAGGGCTGTAGGCCTTCAGTTTTTATCAGCATTTTAAAATATTTTTAAAGGGCAAGATATACTTGTTCACACTTTCTAACTTTTAGTATGAAAATAAAGTAGAATGTCCCCCCAAAGGCTGTTAGATTTTGTAAAGTTGAACAAATGGAGCAGGTAGGAAAATGGTCAGTACTGAGATGTTTGGAATTTTGGTACCTAGACAACCTTCAAATCCCCTGACCATGTGACCAGGGACTCTCCGAGAAGCCCTTTCTCACAATGGGCTCAACTACTTTGTGCTCTCTTCCCTCCAGCTCTGGGACTGGGACATGTGGATGCGGATGCCGGAGCAGCGGAAAGGCCGCGAATGCCTCATTCCGGACGTGTCGCGCTCCTACCATTTTGGCATCGTTGGCCTCAACATGAACGGCTACTTCCATGTGAGTATCAACTTGCACAGAGAAGCATCAGCAATGTGTGCTTCTGCCTAGGGAACCTCCTTGCTGGCTGCCTTCTGCTTCCACATCCACTGGTTGTGGTCTTTGCTAGCTTCCCCTTCTTTGTTCTTCTCAAGGAGGTCATGACATGTGTGTTACTCGGTGACAAGGACGGTTGGAGCAGTCTGCATTTCCCCAGCTGCAGTTCAACCTTGGAGAAAGAAGCTGCTGCTTTTCATTATCTGTGCATATTGACCTCCCATGCACCTATGCAAGCATTTGTAGGCCATGAGAACTCAGCAGAAGTGCAGAGGAGGTTTCTCATAGGAACATAGGACCGATTCAGACCATGGGTCTCTCTAGCTCAGTGTTGTCTACACTGATTGGCAGCAGCTGTCCAGGGATTCAGGCAAGGGGTGTTCCCAGTCCTGCTTGGAAATGCCAGGGATTGAACCATGTGCTCTACCACTGAGCGATGACTCCCATCCTTGGAACCAATAGAGAAGTCTAAGCCTTCATGCCTAGCTTGGCAGCCTCAGGAGAACTTGGGGGTCACCACTTTCAAGAAATAGAGTGTAGGGCTAGATCATCTTTCATCTGAGCCAGTACAGCAGTTCCATATGAGTCCTGTTCTGATGTTGAAAGCACAAAGCTATCATCATTTGAGGCATGAGAGGAGGTTGCCTTCTGCCCAGCAGTCTCTGCATCTTTGGAAGGATGTCTGCAGCAGGACTGCCTGCCAGTACACAGGGGCTATCCCAGCAAGCAGGAACCCTGAGCGCTCGGGGTTTCATCTCATGGGGATCACCTGCCTGGATTTGGGAGGCTGCCCTGCTGCAGACATCCTCCCAAGCCTGTGGACAATGCTGGGAAGGGGTGACTGCGCCTGGCCCTGCTCTGTGATAATTGTGTGTCCTAAATGCCCACATAGGATAAATGCATTGTGTCCAAATAACTTTTCCTGAAAGTCAATTCATAGAAAATAATGGAACCTCAGTTAGTCAATGTGGTGACTCTGCTCTGAGTAGGTCTAGCATTGGATACAACTCTGTGTTCTTATGTCGATTTGGGTGCTAGCTCCCAAGTTGCCAAGCTTGTCCAAAATGAACTGATGCCTCCTGTTTATTCACTTAACACAGCTGCATTTCAGGCTTTGACTACTCCCTGTGGCCATTCCCATGCAACAAATCATTTATGGATAGTTGTCTGCCATGGGGCAGTGTGTTTTTTGATGTGGAGACTCAGTATCTGTGCCCGTGTGCATCAAGCTAGATTCCCTCCCGAGTGTGCTCCAGGGATATGTGGAAATAAGGGGTTATACGTACATGAAAGGTGACTGATGACCCCTAAATATGTGTTTGCCTCTTGTTTTTTCTAGGAAGCCTATTTCAAAAAGCACAAGTTCAACACCGTCCCCAGCGTCCAAATAAAAAATGTGGAGAGGTGAGTGCAGTATGTCCAGCCTCTGCGGAATGAGCCCTAATACACCCCGGGGCACCTGGGACTGACTTTCTGAGCCAGGCTTAGGGCTTCCTGGCTTATGCACCTCTCCAGCTGAGACTCACTCCTTTATCTGAACCAGAATGCCCTAAAAGTTGATAATATGTTGCCTCTTTTGTGGGTGGCCTTTAAAAATCATAGAGTGGTAGTCAGCTAAGCTTTACTCAGGGTAGATGGATTGAAATCAATGAAGATTGCTAAGGTAGGCCTATTAGTTCCAATAGGTCTACTCTGAATAAAACTTACTTGACTATTACTTCTAGGAGATTAATACTAGCAGGAAGGTGGTTTCTTCATAAATAGAAAAAAAATACATTTATTTTCCTTTCCAGCTGATGAGTTGTGTTTCCTGGAGTATACTATCTTCTTCCCCGTTTTCTAGTTTTTACCCCAACCCACGTTGGTGTTCCTACAATAGGGTCAAAAAGCTGATGGCTATCCTAGAATGCCTTTCATAGTAGCAAAGGTGGACTGTGGAATTAAATAGTGGTTTTATTGCAGTCGATTTACTAAGCAGGATGCTGACACCCAGCAAACTGCCAACTAAGTTAGTTCTTGGTATGAGCTTTCGTGTGCATGCACACTTCTTCAGATACCATTCTGCATGCACACGAAAGCTCATACCAAGAACTAACTTAGTTGGTCTTTAAGGTGCTACTGGAAGGAAAAAAAATTTTGTTTTGACTATGGCAGACCAACACGGCTACCTATCTGTAACTGCCTCTAAGGTGTTAAGCATCAATATTTCTCTTCCCCCCCACCCCCCTCTGACTGTCTGTCTTTATCTTTCCATCGCCCAGCTTAAGGAAAGATGCATATGAAATTGAAATCCACCGGCTGCTCAGGTAACTTGAATGCTAGGAAATCGGACACATGTTGATGGTAAATGATGATATTTTGCAAAGTTGTAAAGAGTGTGTGTGTAGGAACTGTTTCATGTTGGAGATGAATGCTTGTTTGTCTGTTGTTGGGGAGGGTATTATGTTTTTATTCAGTTTTACAGAAGCAAGCATCAAAATTATGCTGATACATCTATACAGCTCTTAGAGTTGTTTGGATCACGGGCAGCCTGTGTCTGCTGTCGTTGCGTGGATTGATTTTGCTAGCATGCCATGCCTACAAGAGAGGTATTCTAGTGTCCCCATTTGTGGAAGGTGTGGCATCTTGTGTATGTGCTGCAGCATCAACTGTAAGAGGAAAAACAATAAGTGGTAGCCAGGAATTTTGCACAATTGGATCACAATGTTATCAGTCAATCTCTGAAGTGGGTGGGTGGATTTTAACCAATGTCATTGTGAAGGGCTGGAAGCGTCCCATCTAATACGCGAAGGGGAAGGGTCCCAAAGAACAATGTAGTCACTTTGAATGATTTGTCTGACGTATAACTACAAAGCTTCAACAATAGGAGCAACGTGAGCCCTTCCCACAAACTTGCGGCCTTTTCTTTTTTACTTTTCCCCACAGACTAATTGGCACTTTAAATTTTTTTGCTGGAAACCCCTGTGTGTGTTCATACATGTGAGTCTTACGGCTTTTATCTCTTCACTTCTTATTCTGTCCTCATGGTCCCGGATTTATTTTAATTCCTCCTTCAGTGAGGCAGAAGTTCTGGATCACAGCAAGAACCCCTGTGAGGATTCCTTTGTACCCGACACCGAAGGGAAGATCTACGTTATGTACATTAAGATGGAGCAGGAGGCAGATTTCACCACCTGGACTCAGCTTGCAAAGGTAACTTCCAACTTCTTTGCCTGCCCAGCCTGTGACATAAGATGGACGGGGTGGGGTTTCTGTAGGCCTCTAAATCCAAAGCCAGTGCAGAACGGGAATTGGAAGGCAGCCCAGTCGACTTAGATTCTGGAGCTTCCATCACATGGGTGATTCAACCTTGATGGCATGTTGCTTGTATGATGTCCTCTTTCCACTGTCCTTAGTGCCTCCACATCTGGGATCTGGATGTCCGTGGGAACCATAAAGGACTGTGGCGCCTCTTCCGGAAGAAGAACCACTTCCTGGTAGTGGGAGTGCCTGCCTCTCCTTATTCGTAAGTTTCCTTCATGGGCAGGGGAAACTCCCCCTGGTCCCCATGTTAGTGCCAGGCTGCTTAGTTGGGGCAGCTTTTCTCTGCATGTTTCTCCCAGAATTTCCTCAGCTTACCCGTCAAATCAGATCCTGCTCCCCAAGCAAGCTAGTTGAGCCTGTGTGGTCTCACATGTTTTAAGAAAGCTCAGCTGGTTAGAGTGTGGTGCTGATAACACCAAGGTTGCAGGTTCGATCCCTGTATGGGACAGCTGCATATTCCTGCATTGCAAAGGGTTGCACTAGATGATCCTCAGGGTCCCTTCCAATTCTATAATTCTGTGTCTTCATAACTCACTGCTGCTGCTGCTGCTGCTGCTGCTGCTGCTGCCACCTGGCGCCAGGAACAAAAATTGCAAGGAACTTGGAAAGAAGCAGAGGCAACGCCATTCTTTGCCATGGTTGCTTAGCAGTTCAGCTTCCTGGAAAGGTGGCCGTGTGCACCAGGTAGCTACAGCAGGAAGGGCTGCGAAAATAGCTGACTCAGAGCCATCTTGGGAGACCATAGCAAGGTGACTGAGAAGGGATGGGAGGCAGCTTCCAAAGGTGGAGATATATGGGGGGGGGTGTATTGTGTGTAGTCATGAAGCAGACTTGAAAAGCCAGAATTCCTCTCCAGGCAGTTATTAAGAGGAGAGGCCTTGACTCAGTGGCAGAGCACATGCTTTGCTCACAGACAATCCCCAGCATCTCCATCTATAGATGTTTTTGGCCTACAACTCCCATGATCCCTAGCTAGCAGGACCAGTGGTCAGGGATGATGGGAATTGTAGTCTCAAAACATCTGGAGGGCCGAGGTTGAGGAAGCCTGGATTAAGTGGAATGGGGATGTCTGAAGCCTAGCAATGCTGCTTCCAGATGGACAACACTGGCCTAGATGGACAAATGGGCTTATCTGGTGCAAGGCAGCTTCTTATTTTCCTCTCTCCATGCTGTCCTCTCTGGCCCGAGACACTTCTTTAGCTCCCCCACCCCTTTCCCTTTTTCATATCTAGCTCTTTTTTTCTCCTTCTCCTCCTAGATCCAAGAAGCCCTCCTCAGTGACCCCCATTTACATGGAGCCCCAAGCCAAGGATGAAGCGGTGGGAGCCGTGGGAGCAGGAGCGGAGCAAACTTGAAGCAGGGCTGGGGAGTGTTGTCCGTGTTGCCTTCACATCCTGCTGGGAAAAGGGGCTCAAGACGCCATGGAGCTTCGTGGGAGATTTGTGTGCCGCTTTCTCTGAAGGACTTGGGAAGAGGGGCAAAGACATAGGGAGGAGGGCTCCCAACTGCCCCAAGGCAGCTGCTGAGTGTGAATACGTTGCACTGGGAAGGCAGGAGCAGGAGCCTTTAATATTTTTCTAAGCCACTGCAACAATACAATTTTGCGGGGTGGGGAGGGGTTTGGTTGGTCCCATTTTTAACACTGACGCTTTACTAACGGTGGCCACCCTTTCCCCCAAATTGTGGGTTAGGCCAGAGGGAGCTGTTTGGAAAGGCGATTGGTTCCCTTTTTAGGGAGCTCTTCTCAGACCACTACTTCAGGATATATACATTTGTTGTTGTTATTTATTAACTGAGTGTTGGTCAACATCCTTCAAAAGGCAGCTGTCCTGCTTATGTTTCTGGTGGTTTCCAGTTTAGGGGGGGGGGATTGTGATGGGACTCTTAAGCCCTGGAAAGCATGTGGAGCCATTCATTCTCCAGGCAGAGGAACCATCCTGCACATGGCTTGGATTGATGGCTACAGAGCAGACAGTTCGCCTGAATTTGGAGAATGGCTTTTGTGCCAGAGGATGGAGAAATAGGCCATGGCCTTCATCGTCGGGACTTAAGGACACAAACCACAAATGGAACTGCATGTATCGGTACTGCGGGCAACCCAACCTGGATGCTCAGGCCCAGAATTCCTTTCCTCCTGTCTCTGCTCCCAGTGGATTGTGATGCAAGAAGGGAAACATCAAAATCTCTGGCATTTTATCTACCTAGCAAGTTCTCCTGGCTCTAACTGAGGCACCTCTTCTTGACTGAAATGCTCAATAAGAGCCAGACTGGCAACAACAGGTGGAGGCCCAAGGCTGTGAGGCTTGGTGGAGTTGCTCTTCTGTACAATACCCACAGAAAAGAGCCAAGAAGTGGTGAAGGGGGTGTGTGTGTGTGTACAAAAAGTGCCTTGAGGGAGTATGTGCTGGCCTAGAAAGCCTGCTCAGAAAGGGAGAGATGAAGTGAATGGATCAAGCCGAACCTCAGTTATGTTTGCTCTATTGGAACAAAGCTTCTGTGAGCTCAAAGATCCAAATGCAGGAACACTTGTCCTGCTGTTAGTCTGCAGTGTGGATGACCTGTGGCAATGGCCACTGTTAGTACCACTAAGCAAGGTCAAGCTCACTCCTGTCCTCCAACCTGTGGAGCTGATAGGCTTTGTGTCCTACCCTGCTGAGTTCAAGCCAGTCTTGCTCTTTTTGAGGCCTAGGTTGCTGAAGCATGTTGCTTGGAAAGGAGGAGCTCATAGGACCTCAAGGAAGTTCTGAAGAGGCTTCTTGGGGAAGTAGGTTCTTCTGGAGTCTGTGTTGGCTGGGCGGAGGTATAACGGGGAAGGCAAAGGGCAGAAATTCAGGGACAAAGAGGGAATAGTGGTTTTCCTCTTCCACATCTGGTGCCTTATGAGGTGAGCGAAGTCCTTGGGGTCTAGAATGTAACTTTCTGTACAATGATTCAGCGAACAGCTAAAGGGAAGGGAGCACCACCTACGAGCAGATGGCCAGGTTCTAGTTTAATGTAATCCTTTCCCTTCCATTTGGTGGTTGGGTGTCTTTTTGTTTTGTGTTTCCTCTTCTTTCTCCACACCGCCAAGCTAACCATACATAGTTGATGCTGCCTGAGTCTTTAAGAAAACAAACGAATTAGGGTGTAGAAAAGGGGAAAGATAGGCATTACAGCATTTAAGATGTCCATAAGGCAACTGTGGCCTCCATCAAGAAGGTACCATCTTCAGCCAACTCCTGAACCTAAGAGTGTCTTGCTTCACCTCACTTGGTCTGTACATTTTCCAAAAAGAAACCCTTTGGCTTCTATCCACGTTAAGAGTCTAGTGACTGAGGGAAGACCATAGGGAATTTGGGGTGGATGACTTGGGTACAGTCACTGATTGAATGCCATTGATTTATGGGTTAGTGATACTTACGGCAGGGAACCAAGACATCTTGTCAGTTCAGTCCATACCATCTCAGGGGAAATTGGTGGGTGTGTCTGCCTCTGGAAGGTGGGCTTCTCTTGGCCCTGCCTGTTGGCCTTGATGCAGATACACTCAGCATATTGCAGCTGCATGGGGAGCGTAACCCAGAGCTGAGAGTGCAGCAGTTCCAGCCAGAGATGGAAAGCAACACTTTGGCTGCTGCTTTCCTTGATTGCATCGCTTGCCATCACATTGCCAGTGCATCATGTTTCACTGGAGGTAAATGTGGACACAGCTGCTACTTCCCCCGACAGCTTTTGCAGGTACAGTAGAGCTAAAAGTTAGAGCTGTGCTGCATTTTTGCAAAAAGGATAATTTTTCTGTTATGCCTTCCTTGTCTCTCCTTTGGCAAGCATTGATGCAGAAAGGGAATCTGTTCCTGTAAACAGGCACCTGAAGGTTCCTGGATACAACTTTAGCATGCATTTGCATTTTTAGAAACACGCATACAAGTTTTGCTGCGGAGTCTTACTACTGATGACATATGGAATGATTCTCATTGTGAAGCAGCTAGTACTTTCACCATTTTTGTGGCAACATGGTATGGAGCATGGTTTTTTTTATGTTGTTGGGTTTTTGGGTTTTTTGTTTGGTTTTATTTAAGGCGCACAGCACCCTTAATAAGGGGAAGGAGCAACTTCTAAGCAGAGTTCAGAAACCTTTGCCCTCCAGAAGCACATTACGGCCCTTTTCCTTATTTATTTGGTAACCAGAATAGGGGATGTTTTGAAGCCGCCAAATCTCCAAGGCCTTATTACACTTGGCACAAAGTGCAAAGGATTGGGGCTTCTGCAAATGCACAGCAGCAGCAGCAACCCTGAAGGCTTTTTTAGTGATGGCTAACTGCAGCAATGCTGAATTAGCTAATGTGCTTCTTATTAATTTAGAGAAGCCATTCCCCCCCCCTTCAGAACCAGTCATGGGATTTCAGGGGCATGGCAAGTGGAGATCTCAGGAAGCCTAATGCCTAGACCAGCCTTCTCCAACCTGCTGCCTTCCAGATGTTTTGAATGACAATTCCAGTCAGCTCCAGCCACCACAACAGTGCTGGCTGTGGCTGATGGGAGTTCAAAGCACCTGGAGGGGCACCAAGTTGGGGAAAGGTGGCCTGGATCTACAAATACCTTTGTCCTTCATGGAGAGCAGAGCACAGGCCTCTCCAGACTTCATCTACCGGTATATGTTTGGAGTGAGTGTTTAGTTGTGGGCAGAGGGAGGGGCTAGTTGCTTTTTGCAGCAGAAAGGCATTTCCTACCTATCAGGTGTGTAAAATCAGGTCACTTTGTGTAGTCATGATCAAAGTTCAGAGCACACTTTCGAAGGGGCTACATCTACCTTAAAAGTGTTCATGAGGTGTCTTCTGAAAGGAATGGTGTTCTGCTCTTGGCACTGGCAATAGACACAGCTTCTGCCCCACCTGACCAAGTGCAAAATATTTTATGGTGAGGACATCCCAAGATCCCATGGAAACAGCATCATTGCAAGAAGATTGTAGTTTGCAACTTTGTGAGGAGGCAAGAAAAGCAGAGATGGATTGGGGTGGTTTCCCCTGTTCAGCCTTGCAAATGAGTACACTTTTACTGCATTTCTTGTTCAGATATGTCAAAGGGTAGCTGGAACAGTTGCTGTAAGCCACTACAGTGGTACCTTGGTTTAACAACAGCTTAGTTTATGAACAACTTGGATTAAGAACGCTGCAAACCTGGAAGTAGGTGTTTTGGTTTGTGAACTTTGCCTTGGAAGCAGAACATGTTCCGCTTCCTGTTGAGTGTGTTCCATTTGTAAATCGAGTCCCCCGCTGCTGTGGGAAAGCACACCTTGGTTTAAGAATGCTTTGGTTTAAGGACTGACTTCAGGAATGGATTAAGTTTGTAAACCAAGGTACTACTGTACTTTCCCCTGGCAATATGCCAGTGGAAGCGGGAAGAAAAATAGCAAGGATATAAATTTAATTCAGTTTTCACTGTGTGTGACTTTTAAAATAACAAGTTTCCCCTTGCCAAAAGTTTGTCTTCATAAGGTTACCTGTACTACAAGTGCTGCTTCTAAAACAATCGTTTAGGGATGGGAAATGTTTGATCTAAAGCATTTTAATATTTAAAATATAGTCCAGCACCATGGTCTTGAGACTTTTGACTGAAATGGAAGCTAAATGGCCATATGGAGGTTGTGTATCTTGCTGGCATTGGATTTCAGTGGCTTTCTCTGGATTACACCCAGCAGCTGCAATCCTATGCATTCTTATTCTTAAACCTCTTGGCTTCTATGTAGCCAGGGACTTGCTTATGAGTAAACCTTGGGATTGACCCAAGTGTGAAACAACTGGAATAAATTCAGCTTCAAATTCCCATTTAAATACAAACAGTATTTAATCCCTTTGATTGCAGTGACTTCTTCTCGTCAAACTTTGCAAACAAGTCCAAGGATCATAACCCCTGACCTTGCTCTTTGCAAACTATGCGGGAAAGGATAGCTAAAAGTTCATCAGCTGTTCTTCTCTTCCAGTTTATTTCAGCCAGAATCTTTCTGGTTGTTAGTGACAGCATGCTTGATGCTTTGTCTGATCTATCATGGAAATTACTATTTTCTTGTAGCTTCTGGAGGGTTTGGGGGTTATTCTGGTGGTGTGGGAAGTTGGAGAGGAGAGGGTTCTGTTGCAAAGCAGCTAACATTTTTCAGACCAACAGATGCCTAGGTAACATGCGATCAGTTGCCATCAGTTTTTCTTGTTTCTGCTGTTCCCCAAACTATCCACTGATAATGCACGACGACATCAGAATGTAAAGCTGTCACACCCTGTGGATGTTGGTACCAAATGTTAGGCTGCTTGGTGCCAGGTGCTTCAAACTGGTGTAACTTAAATGATACCATCTAGGACTGAATTAGACGTTCTTGCCACTATTTGGTTTCCACTTGCTCTTCTATCTCGTTCTTTATTCCTTGCCACCACCAGCACTCTTGTTTTCCTGTAGTTGTCTTTAACTTAATGCAAAGGGCAATGCAGTTTCCTGGGCTGGGTGCTCCTTATTCCCTGGACAGACTTGGATTTCATTTGCATGCAGCGACAGGCAAGAACAGAGGCTGCTGTGTGCAGGGTGACCGACTGCTTTTGGGAATCCGGTTTTGTGTGTGTTAGTTTTTCTTTTTGTTTTCCGAAAATAAAGGTGGCAGAACTACTAGCCTATCCTTTCTTTTCCCTACTTCCATGGATGGTCATATCTTGCAACACAGAAAAGCCTGCATGTTTTTAATTGTTGCTCAGTAAAGATTCTGCCTTCACCCTTAACCAGTGGGCACAAATGATAAAACGCTTCCCCAGTTATATAAGGTTTCCTGGCTAATCATCTCAAGGCAAAACTTAGACGTGTGACCAGGTGCATCTCTGTTTAATGGCAGCTGCCCATAAGCATATTTTGAGAGGAGAGAAAGGCCAGTTACACACACACACCATGGTTAACTTCTTTTTAGAGCCCTGCATTAAAAGGCCTTTAGTATTGAGAGCACAGTTGAGCGTCTAGAACATTGGCCTCGAAACGGGAAACGTCTGTTCCAGTTTCACCTTGCACACAGTCTCACTTGGTGGCTTCTACAAAGGAAGAACACACTTAAGATTTATAAAATTCCTGGAACTCTGCATGGTTAATAGATAAAAATGAGCTTAAAACAAGGAGATCCTTTAAAGTAGAACATGAGGAACCCTTTTCAGCCTGAGGGTTGCATTTCCTCCTAGGCAAGCTTCCCAGGACCACATGCACTCTTTACTTCTAAAAATAAAGGAAATGCAGCCCTATATCTTTGCCATCTTCTCATTTCTAACAAAAAAACTTTGGTCCCTCCAACTTTGCCCTGTGATGCAAAATCAGGCAATTACTGTGTGGCTCCACTAGAGGTACTCAGTCTTGCATGATGTCCAAAAGTTAGACTTGAAAAAGTACCATCTATTTGCGTAAACAGGAGAAGGAAGCAACTCCTGCTTTTGAAAGACTGACTTTTAACTACCAGGAAATACGACTATACTGCATCATGGTCAAAGGCCTATCAGTGGGATGTGATCATGGCATCAGCTGTATGGTCTTTGATCTTCCTGCTTTCCTATCCTTGCCTGCAATACACCAAGAATGTGTGTTGTGAGTCTGACTGAAGGCAAAATGGATTGATGGCAAACTTCAGTGCAGTTCTTGGAAGTAGATAGAGTAAATGTATCCAAGTGTCTGTGAAAAGTCTCTCTTTCCCCTATCAGTCTTGTGGACTACAAATCCTGGTCATTGGCCATGCTGGCTGGGAGTGATGGGTGTTGTAGTGCAGCTACAACTATTAAGATATGAGTGTTGCTTATGTTCATATTATGGTGCAACATAGTCCCTTTGCATCGTTTATCCGGTCAGCAAACACAGCTGTGCTCAAGTTGATTTCAAAGGGATTTACTTTGGAATAATTTAGTGCAGAGATCATATATTTTGGTCCAGGTGGCACATTTTAAATTCTGAGGGAGCGCCGGGGGTGCCAGCCACACCATGGCTGCCATGAGGGGCGTGGCATAACACAAAATTAGATAAGAGTACAATAGCTCTGAAGCATGGAATCAGAGTTGGAAGGGATCTCGAGGCTCATTTAGTCCAACTCCCAGTTTCCCCCCTAGTTGTAGTTCCATCTGAGAAGAGGCTTAACCTGTTGAATTTCTGCCAAGAAAATTAGAATCAAAAGGTCAGGCGCATTAAAAGGGAGCAAGGAAGTGCAGCTCTTTAGGACCCAGTGGCGTAGCGTGGGTTGTCAGCACCCGGGGCAAGGCAAGTAATTTGCACCCCCTAACCCGTGGATTTTAGCACTTGAGTGCGAGCGCGCCCCCCCCCAGATGTTGCGCCCGGTGCGGCCGCCCCCCCCCTGCACCCCCACACTACGCCACTGTTAGGACCCATGGGATTCCTATTGCCTGGTGCCCAAACTCACTCATCAATCACAGCTCCTGGCTTTAATCATTGGCAATAAACTACTGACAGGCAAGAGCAGCTAGACTGGTTTATTTCACATAAATCTCTTAGAAGGCTATCTACCCCTTTCAACAATGGATAGCAGCCCTTTGCTTCTATCCACTGATCTGACATCTTGGCATGATTCAGCCATAGTGCCTTGCATGACACAATGTAAGGCAATTATAAGGAAAATATTATTTTGATCATATGACAAGTCACCATTAGGGTCTTGGGTTGGTGATCCCTGCTTTAGCACTTTCTTGACCATGCATATTGCCCTTTATGGGTTTGTACTAGATGCGACTGGTAAAATTTGCCTACGACAAACGATTATTCTGCCTAGTGGCCCATTCTTATGTGTGTCTCTAATTCGTGCCTTCTCAGAAGTAAGGCTTGCTTAGTTTAATGGGACTTACTCCCAGGCGGATAGGATTGCAGCCTTTGCGCTCTTAGGGTTATGACAATGGTCTTAAAGTCCATGTAAATTAGAAACTGGAACAATCTACAGGAAATTCTTGAAGGGGTCAGAGAAACCAACACCCATTTGGCTGCGTGTTTCCTTTTAGAACATTTTATTATGAACTTCCTGTGTTTCTGCTCGTCCCTCACTCGAATGCTATAGCTTCCTTATTGTACAAGGGAGTTGCAGTTTCTACTGACACAGTTCTCCAGCCGCCGCCCAGAATAAACTTGTCAAAAAGTAACAGAAAATTCCTGTAGATCAAGGAAGTATACCAGTGATTTACTGAAAAAAATCCCCATGTAATGGATGTCCCTGCTGCTGCAATCCCACAAAGGCTGAATTAACAAAAGTATTCAGGTGCCTTTTGTGGCCCTCCATATATTTCTATAAGATCAAGTGTTTAAATGGTAATACGGTAACTTCTCTTGGCGTTATAGATGCAGTCTGGAAAAGGGGCTGAAATTAGTACCTGATGTCAATATCAGATTTGACAAATCCCCCCTCACTCTCCTAATTCTGCATGACCACAAGCAAGAGAGTAAAAGTGCTTGTTTCCTTTAAAAAAAATAATAATTAACTGCAGCTTGTCCTTTTGCCTGTACCGTCATTAATTACAGTTTAAAACTAGCCAAGTTAAAACCATTGGTTATGAAGCTGGCTTGTTTCAACAAACCATAGTCAAAATTGCCCCACATTTTAGGATTCAGATATAATACTAAACCACAGTTATACAGAAATGAAAGCAAACTTTGATTCCCCTCCTTCTGCATTTGAGATTCGCTGTGCCTTGCTCCTGTCAAGATAAGCCATTGTTTGTTGTGATGCTCAAACTGTCCCGTAGTGTGCAGTCAACTTGTGGGTCCAGAGGATTGTGTAGGTAAAGTACCGTATTTTTCTGATTTTCCCCCTAAAAATAATGTACAAAATTTGGGGGCAACTTATACACAGATAGATCTCCCCCCCATTTCCTTAAATCGGAATCCCCCAAAATAGGGGGCATCTTATACATGGGGGCATCTTATATACAGAAAAATATGGTATATCTGCTTACTGTGGCGTCACGGAGTTGGTTGGGTAGTTAATTAGTTTAGGCAATTCATTTCATATGTCATTCAGTTTCTCAGTCCAAGGGTGTGTTCTTTTTCCCACAAACACTATCAATACC